AAAAGCAATGAAAATTTAGGCATCCATGTTAGGGGTATTAAAAGCAGTACAAACACAAAAAGTCCATACTACTGTGCAAAAAGCAGACCCCTTCATATGTTTTTGCACCTCTAGAGGACTATCAAAATTCACAATTGCCATTAAGCCTTGCAGGATTGCATTTCATATAGATCTCAAAATACCAACACATATGCATATGAATAATCATTTATATTTTATCCAAAAAGCCACTTTTTATAGTTTCAGTTCACATTTCGTACATGCAAGAGCTTGGAATGATGCTACAAATTTAAAAAAGGTCTCCAATGCAATTATGACTTGTGAGACTGCATTTCATATATATGCAAGCACATAAAAACATCTATCTTAGATTAACATATATAAGATTTTCCTGATAAGCCACAAAAGTTTTTGACAAACCACATTTGATTCATGTAAGGGGACTCCAACCAGCAGAGACATGGAAAGTCTGAGCTGCAAACATATACGTAGTAAACCCCTTTTAAACATTTCTGCACATCCAGAGGAGGCATCAACATATATAACTTGATTGAACCTCATAGTGGTGCATTACAAGCAGATGAAGGAAAGCCAACATGTCCATATCAGAACAAATCATGTAGCTCACTCACGAATACCACGTGTAATTTATCATGGGTCATAGCACTCACATGGGCGGGGCATTTGAAAAGCAATGAAAATTTAGGCATCCATGTTAGGGGGTACTAAAAGCAGTACAAACACAAAAAGTCCATACCATTGTGTAAAAAGCAGACCCCTTTATATGTTTTTGCACCTCTAGAGGACCATCAGAAGTCACAATTGCCATTGAGCCTTGCAGGATTGCATTTCATATAGATATCAAAATACCAACACATATGCATATGAATAATCATTTACATTTTATCCAGAAAGCCACTTTTTATATTTTCAGTTCACATTTCGTACATGCAAGAGCTTGGAATGATGCAGCAAATTTAGAAAAGGCTTCCAATGCAATTATGACTCATGAGACTAATTTTATATATATGCAAGCACAAAAAACTGTCTTAGATTAACATATCAAGATTTTTCTGATAAGCCACAAAAGTTTTTGCAAACCACATTTGATTCATGTAAGGGGACTCCAACCAATAAAGACATGGAAAGTTTAAGCTGCAAACATATAGAGTAAACCCTTTTAAACATTTTTGCATATCTAGAGGAGCATCAAAATATATAACTTGATTGAACCTCGTAGTGGTGCATTACAAGCAGATGAAGGAAAGCCAGCACGTCCATATCAAAACAAATCATGTAGCTGACTCACGAATGCCACGTTTAATTTATCGTGGGTCCTAGCACTCACATGGGGGGCATTTGAAAAGCAACAAAAATTTAGGCATCCATGTTAGGGGTTTTAAAAGTAGTACAGACACAAAAAGTCCATAATATTGTGCAAAAAGCAGACCCCTTTATATGTTTTTGCACCTCTGGAGGAAGCATCAAAATGCACAACCAATTGAGCCTCATAGGAGTGCACTACACATAGATGTCAAAATACCCACACATGTGCATAAGAATAGTCATCCAGTAAGCCACTTCTTATATTTTCAATTCACATTTCGTACATGCAAGAGCTTGGAATGTTGCAGCAAATTTAGAAAAGGCTTCCAATGCAATTATGACTCATGAGACTAAATTTCATGTATACATGCGAGCATATCAAAACATCTGTCTCAAATTAACATATCCAAGATTTTTCTGATGAGCCACAAAAGTTTTTGCAAACCACATTTGATTCATGTAAGGGACTCCAACCAGCAGAGACATGGAAAGTCTGAGCTGCAAACATATGGAGAGTAAACCCCTTTTAAACATTTTTGCACACTCAGAGGAGGCATCAAAATATATAACTTGATTGAACCTCGTAGTGGTGCATTACAAGCAGATGAAGGAAAGCCACACATCCATATCAAAACAAATCATGTAGCTGACTCACGAATGCCACGTTTAATTTATCGTGGGTCCTAGCACTCACATGGGGGGCATTTGAAAAGCAACAAAAATTTAGGCATCCATGTTAGGGGTTTTAAAAGTAGTACAGACACAAAAAGTCCATAATATTGTGCAAAAAGCAGACCCCTTTATATGTTTTTGCACCTCTAGAGGAAGCATCAAAATGCACAACCAATTGAGCCTCATAGGAGTGCACTACACATAGATGTCAAAATACCCACACATGTGCATAAGAATAGTCATCCAGTAAGCCACTTCTTATATTTTCAATTCACATTTCATACATGCAAGAGCTTGGAATGTTGCTGCAAATTTAGAAAAGGCTTCCAAGGCAATTATGACTCATGAGACTAAATTTCATGTATACATGCGAGCATATCAAAACATCTGTCTCAAATTAACATATCCAAGATTTTTCTGATGAGCCACAAAAGTTTTTGCAAACCACATTTGATTCATGTAAGGGGACTCCAACCAGCAGAGACATGGAAAGTCTGAGCTGCAAACATATGGAGAGTAAACCCCTTTTAAACATTTTTGCACACTCAGAGGAGGCATCAAAATATATAACTTGATTGAACCTCGTAGTGGTGCATTACAAGCAGATGAAGGAAAGCCAACACATCCATATCAAAACAAATCATGTAGCTGACTCACGAATGCCACGTTTAATTTATCGTGGGTCCTAGCACTCACATGGGGGGCATTTGAAAAGCAACGAAAATTTAGGCATCCATGTTAGGGGTTTTAAAAGAAGTACAGACACAAAAAGTCCATACCATTGTGCAAAAAGCAGACCCCTTTATATGTTTTTGCACCTCTAGAGGACCATCAGAATTCACAATTGCCATTGAGCCTTGCAAGATTGCATTTCATATAGATATCAAAATACCAACACATATGCATATGAATAATCATTTACATTTTATCCAGAAAGCCACTTTTTATATTTTCAGTTCACATTTCGTACATGCAAGAGCTAGGAACACTAATGCAAATTTATAGAAGGCTTCCAAACAAACAAATGCAATTATGTCTCGCAAGAGTGCATTTCATACATATGTAAGCATATCAACACAGATTAAATCATTTAAGATTTTTCTTCTAACCCACAAAAGTTTTCCTAGCAACAAAGACATGGAAAGTTTTAGCTGCAAACATATGAGTAAACCCCTGCTAAACATTTCTGCACATCTAGAGGAGGCATCAAAATATACAATTTGATTAACCCTCATAGTGGTGCATTGCAAATAGACGAAAGTAAGCCAACACATCCATATCAAAACAAATCATAACTCATGTAGAGCTCTCGCATGAGAGGGACATTTGAAAGGCAACAAAAATTTAGGCATCCATGTTAGGGGTACCAAAAAGCAATAGACACACAAAAAGTCCATGCCATGTAAAAAGTAGACCCCTTCAAATATTTTTGCACATCTAGAGGAGGCATCAAAATTGAGCAATGTAAGAGTGCATTTCATATGGATGTCAAAATACCAACACATATGCATAAGAATAATCATTTATATTTCATCCAGTAAGCAACTTTTCATATTTTAAGTATTTCATACATGCAAGAGCTTGGACTATTTCTGCAAATTTAGAAAAGGCTTCCAATGAAATTACGACTCATGAGAGTGCATTTCATATATATGTGACCATATCAACACATTTGACTGAGATTAAATCATTTTAGATTTTTTTGCTAACCCACAAAAATTTTTGACAAAGCATATTTGATTCATGTAAGGGGACTCCAAGCAAAAGAGACATGAAAAGTCTTAGCTGCAAGCATATGAGTAGACCCCTTCTAAAAATTTCTGCACACCAAGGGGAGATACCAAAATATACAATTTGATTGACCCCAGTTAGTGATGCATTACAAATAGATGAAAGAAAGCCAACGCATCCATATCAAAACAAATCATAAAGCTTACTCTGGTAGGCCACAAATGACTAAGGATAGTTCATAGCACTCATATGAAAGGGAGATTTGAAAGGCAACAAAAATGTAGACATCTGTTTTAGCAATACTACTTGTAGTAAGTACATGAAAGTAGATGCTAGTGTCCAACAAGTCGAGCACTTCATATATTTTTTAACATATAGAGGAGACACTAAAATGTAAATATAGAATGAGCATCCTCATTTATACAAAAAAATAAAGCTCTAAATCTCGGTTCACCTGTTGAGCCACAGTCTACTGAATATCACAAGAAACTAATTGCTTTACTCACAATGTTGCAAATGTAGACCTAAAGAATTTTAATCAACTCATTGCTACAGTTAGTACTTGCAAGTGACAGTCTCACATGTTTAATTAGCTTCAATAATGAAAAGCACTATGTGAAAATATGCTTCACATGTGCCTGATGAAACTTGCCATCATCTGGTATAAGAAAGTCAGCTTAAAACCAAATAGAAGAAAATCAGTTCAAGGGCCATACAACTATACCATTTAACTAGATCTGTATCTGTAAAACTTGTATAAGAAAGTTGGCTTAAAAAAAACTATAACATGAACATAGCCAAAGCACGCTATAGAACATAACATCTGGAAAGCTTATGACTTACTTTCTTGTTTTATAAATAGAAACGCTAATGATAAAATGCAACAAGGAAAACAATCAATAGAATTCTTTAAACACCCATGCTGCCCATAATGTGGCTAGATCTGGATCTTTGGTAATTTTTTGTTAGGGGAATAGATTCAATTAGAACGAGAGGAGAACAACTATCATCTGATTAAGGAATCACATTTGAGTAAAGTTCAGAAGTCAGATTGAATCGATAATTGTTTTCACAGAAAAAGAAGATCATCAGCATATGTCTAAAGAGATGACAACACATTTCAACTGCAACCTTTTGGAGCAGGGATTGTATGAAGTGAGTTGCCATTTTATGTCAATATTGAACGATAAATGCTAGCATCAACCCAGGAACATTATACTTTAATCATATGCAAATGGCTGCTAATAATAATTATAAGTGTCACTCAAAGCTGATAACAAATTTCATAATGAAAATAAATAAATGTATTTAAGCCCATTGCAACGTCAAAGATGATGGAAGACTGTTAATTGCCATCTCATCAATATCCAGTTTAATTACAAACACTGGCAAATCCCACTGCATGCCAAAGTGACTGGAGGAGGAGTAGAATATACAATTATTAGAGGCACGTCCTCAGTTATAAAAAATAATAATAATAATAATAATATTAACGGTCAAAAGTTTGGTCCACCTCTACTGTACAGGGCATGGGCTGCTGCAGATCGCAAGCAATATGTGACTCTGTCCACAAAGTCTGTCATTTGAACTGGACCAAATATTCTACTATCATATGCTTCCTGCAATTTGAAGAGTCAAAAGGATAGCATAATTACAGCTAATCCTATATGGTCTTTGAGGACAGTAATCTCTCTCTACATGCTACTGCAAAAAATTCAAACACAGAAATAAAATGAAATTAATAATATCCTCACTTAAGAATATTCTGCTAGGTAGAGTAAATCAACTAAAAAATTATAATGTTGAGGTCTGAGATAAAACAAGCCCATATTAGTGGAAGAAGTTTTCTTTTCTTTCTTTCTTTTTTTGGGCCAACAATTATTTTTCAGTTATTACTGGAAGGAGCAAACTGGTGATTGTGCATGAGTAAAGGAACTACTACCCGAATTTTCACAGTAATAGAGTTTATAAAAGAATTAACATTGAGATACCCAAGTAGTGTAAATGTAAACTCTCTAGCCACATCATGCTTGTAAATACTGTTTTCTGAAATGCTTTCACTAAATTGCCGAGCCAAGTTTCTGACCTAATTCATTTCTGACTTGGCCATGAGATTTTAACTAGAAAAGGTGTTTAAATCTATTGTCAAACATGAATGATTAGCATATTAATATTGGTAGCACTTTTAGAATGTGCTATACCTTGGGTTTCAAATTTTGATTATCAGCCAATACCCAACATTGATCCTGCTCAAGAATGAAAGGCTCAATGTAGAATTCATTTCACAACCTTCAATGGCAGCCAGTCTTCTGACTACATGATTCTTTCACTTCTCAGGGTCCTTCAAAACAACCATATTTCCTACCCAAAAAAAAAAAAAAAAACACCTGTCAAAGAAACATGTATATTACTAACAAATAATGAAAAATGAGAACATGAGCTTCAATTGACAATTTCAACCATCAAAATGTCATTACCTAGTTCCACTCCAAAGAATAATACACAAGAATGAGACGAAGAAAGAAACCCCACAAAAAGATTATAGTTTGATAAAAAGATCTGATTACAAACAATGCCCAGAGAAGGAATAGCAAACAAGCAAGTCTTCGTCTCCAGCCTAAACTATTAAGTTTTATTAACCACTAAGGCACTATGAAAGAATATTATCTAAAAGGATAATAATTAATACAGAAAAAATGGCATTTCATGATGAGATTAAAAGAACATTAAAAAGATATTCCATGATGACATTAAAAAAACATTAAAAAGATAAGGAGACCCAACATAATTATCGCTTCCTCTGTCACACACTCCACAGCCATTTCAAAGGCCACTTAGACCAATATAGTTGAGCGGGTTGTTAGAAAGCAATATTCTGCCTACACCTAGTAAAAACTCGGTGAACAAAAAATTTAAGGATGTCAACAGAACCGCAGGGAAAAAGATGAAATGATGGACAGCTAATAGAATGGGAGTTTCAAGACTGACAATTAAGCTAGCATAGCTCCACAACAGGAGATACAAGAAGTTTAAGTTTAAGACATCTCCTCAGCACACCAAAAGGCACCAAAACTTAAAACCTATAGATAACCAAACAAAAGTTGACCTTCTCTCATCCAAGGCTGTTTCAACATAAAACTTAATCACATTTTTCATTATAAATGCTACAATGATATTAAAATAATGTACTGTCTAAATTTACCAGCTTTAAGCCTTTAAGCCCCTGATTTAAGAAAATACTTCCATTCAACTTCAAATTTCTTGATTAAAAAAATTTCTTAGAATTTCATCTCCACAACTAATCAACCAAAAAGCAAGAATACTCATGAAAACATTAATATGGCCTCTTGTTGAGCAAGAACCTTTCAAACTAACTGCAACCACCTCAGTGTAAGTGGTGCATGTCAAAGGCCAACAGAACACACTAACACAAAATACTATCTCATTCACACCAACGATCTACTGATGTGTAATCATAATTAGAATAAGAGGGATAGGTTAGCGGGTCTAGATGTAAAAATAGGCCTGAGATGTAGATGTACCTGATATGAATTGAATATGAATTCTCTCAAGCATTATCCAGAAACATCTCTCGAGTTCTCAATCCTTGCCTTACTCTCCTTTCTCTATCCTATTTTCCCTGTTCTTCACTCCCTTATACATCATCTACATATCCAAATATCCTTCCCTATTCATACTAGATAGGTTTCCTACAGTCCCAAATTCCCTAGCCACCCCTTGACTTAATCCCCAACTACTTAGTTCTCACGTGACCATACTCCCCCATAAGAATGACCCTTGTCCTCAAGGATCAGTACAATGTCATTAGTTATTGTCATGTGGGAACTAAGGGTAATGAGGGTAATCATTAGGAATCAATGGGGTAGTTAGGGAACTTGCATGGAACCTATCTAGCCCCTGTTTGTATAAATAGGGGAAGGATGGCCATGTGATGCATAAAGAATTTTCTCATTGCATTGACTCAGTGCACAAAAGATACGGACTTGTTCATAAAAGATCTAACATTCCTTGGTGAATATCTAGCCAGGAACAAATCCAGACACACATATATGGGAGCAAAATTGAAAACCATCTAGAATACGGAGGAGCTAAAACTAATTCACATGTTTTACAAACAAAATTAAAAAAAAAATTACAAAGGAATAGTCCACCACCTTGCATTTGTCCGTCTATATAGCCTTTCCTTGAAATAGAAGACAATCAGTTCCAATGCCATACAACTATATCATTTAACTTGATCTCTGTAAAACTTGTATAAGAAAGTTGGCTAAAACCCCAAAAAAAAAAAAAAAATACTTGTATACGAATATAGTCAAAGCACTCTGCATAACATAGCATCTGGGAAGTTTATGATTTACTTTCTTGTTTTATAAATAAAAAGACTAATAATAAAGTGCAACAAGGAAAATAACCAACAGAATTCTTCAAACACCTATGCTTCCTATAATATGGCCAGATTTGGATCTTCAGTATTTTTTTTCAGGGGAATAGAATCAATTAGAACGAATGAGAGGAGAACAACTATAACCAGGTTAAGGAATCGCATTCGAGTAAAGTTCAGAAGTCAGATTGAATCGTTAATTGTCTTTACAGAAAACGAAGACCAGCTGCACATGTCCAAAGAGACGAAAAAAGCATTTCAACTGCAACCCTTAGGAGCAGGTATCGTATGAATTGAGTTGCTATTTCATTTCACATTGAATTATAAACCCCAACATCAACCCAGGATCATTAGAGGAAACATTATACTTTAATCATATATATTAATATTAATAATTATAAGTGCAACTCAAAGCTCATAACAAATTCCATAATGAAAATATATACATGTATTTAAGCCCATTACAACGTCAATGATGATGGAAGACGGTTAATTGTTCAAACAACAACAAGAAGCCTTAATTGTTCAAAAATGAAAGATAAACAATTCGAAAAGTCGGAAAATGGCAAAATTACGAAATAAAATATGAAAATAAACTTAGAGATATAGGGTCAGAGAGGAAGTGAGACCTTGAAGTCGATAGATATGAAGTACTCGAGTTTGAGAGCCATATACCAAGTTTGAAAAATGTATCGACTGAGGGTCTTTGGGTCTGTGAAGAGAACTTGATCGAATGAATTTTCCTTCTCAACAGCATCTCTAACATACTCGAGGATGAACCATACCGAGTCCTCCAGAGAACGAGGAAGAAAGAAAAAACAGTGAGCGAAGGGCAAAGCATCCGACGAATTACAGCGACAAACCCGAAGCGTCTGAAAATGCACCGACTAAGGGTATTTGGACCGTGAAGGCGGGCGGAAAATAGCGTCCTTGATCTTTTTGGGTCGAGCACAACGCAGAGCACTCATGGCACGCGCAAGCGTCATGCAAGCGACCAATTCTGCTGGTGGCTTCGATTTCTATAGTGACTCCTCCCTGCCGCCTTCAATCTCCACCCATGGGGTTTTGGCGGGCATGCGTCCTACGGCACGAACGAGAACCGCCAATAATTATCTTGCTTGACAAGAAATGAAAACCTATAATAATTATCTTGATTGATTCACAGCCGTAAATCTTTTTTTTTTTTTGGTGAAAGCAGTTGTAAAACTTTTATTGACGTTTTAATTAATGATTTCATTGTTTATTCAATGTTTTTATGGTTGTGTTTTGGGGCCAACGGCACTCTCCTGAAATTTAGGTCTTTTATTTGTTTTCCTTTTCTTTATTTGTCGATATGAATTCCTTGACCGACAAGAAATGAAACCTCAAATAATTACCTCATCTTAATTGATTAACGTTCGACAACTAACGTTTAATTTTTTAATTGGTGGGTTAATTGTTCATTCTTAAACATATATTCCATTTTTTCTCTTAAGTCAAAGGTTTGATTTTATTTTTTTATAATAGACCTGATTTTAATTGAGAAAGGATGAAATGAGTTTAAAATATAAAACAAAATGAAAGAAATAAAAGTTATTTGCACTGCATTACTTGCTTGTTGGGTGGATTTAGTGGCTAGTCTTAACATTTACAGAAATGCAATCTTAATCGTTAAACCTTGAGAATATTGAAAAACAAAAAAAAAATAATTTGTTTCAAATTTAAAAGCAATAATAATAAAAATGAATGATATATAAACTCTTAAAATTCACTTTTTTTAATAAACATTCACTGTCACTAGTCCAAGCTATATGGTGTGCGGTTGGGAAAAAAAAAAACTATTGTAGTCATATAAATAAGTTTAATTACAAATACATACAAAAATTAACGAGGATAATTTTTTTCAAGTTGAAAATGTATAAATTTTATGATTTTGTTTTAATGAAGAGTGAGAAGATTTTATATTTTATAAAAATAATAAAATGAGAAAATTATTTTAAAAAAATTATAGCAATTCATGGACCTCAAATGTTGAGAATTTGAATCCAAAATTAACAGAATAAAAATTTGAACAAATTTTTTTTTTTTTTAACAAGAGAAGAAACGAAACACGATCTCTTATTTTGAGGAAGACAGAGATTGGTGACAGAAGACCGAGAGTTATTCAAGCCTGGTTTTATCTTCACTTTTTAAGGAATAATGACAAAAAAATTTTAAAAGAATCAATTAATTTAAATTATATGTTAAGTATTAAATTTTAAAAATTTATAACTTAATTTTATAATTATATTATAATAAATTTTTAATTTATTTTTTAAATTTTAATCTGATTAAAGAATAAAAAATTTATTTTTTATTAAAATTTAAAATATAAATTATAAATTTATTACAATCCCCGTGTGAAGTTTGTTTGATTCACGTTATACCAATCAATGCATTACCATCGTCATCCATAAATACCCAATACCCCCCCCCCCCAAAAAAAAAAAAAAATCTCTCCCGTGTATTAATCACAGATCAGTCAGAATGTTGGACAACTTTTGCATCATCGGTAAACATAATACGCCTTCCATTTTAAATTATAATATATTTTTAAAATTAATATAAAATATTTTAATAAAAATAAAATTTTATTAATAATACTTTTTATAATATGACCCTTTTCATATATTTTCTCTCTTTAATATTCTTTTATAAATAGAATATTAAATTAAAAGTGCATTTGCGAGTTTAGGATTGAATAGCAAGGAATGATCATTAATAGAATGGAACAAAGTGAAGTGAAATATACAACAAAATTTTCATTATTTGAAAGTTTTCTAATGGGAAGGAATGGCTTTACATGATCATTTTTTTATAAGTTACTATAAAATATATGGAATGGAACGGTTTAAAACTTTTTTCTTCCAATATTATCCATATAACTAAATTTTAAAAAAATAATGCCCATTAAATAATATTTATGCAACATTGAATAATAATATTTATTAAAATTTATCATGAATTATATTATTTTTATGATCTTTTAGACATTTTTTACCATTACAATTTTTTAAATCTCTTTCAAAATTTAAAATTTATTTTAACTTATTATTATGTAAAAATAATTAACAAATGTTGTTCATTTAAACTTTTAAAAAATTACTTTTTATTTTAATATTATTTTTACGAAGAATATATTTTAAATAATAATAATAACAACATTTTTCTAAGGAAAACTTTTTTTATATTTTTCAAAAAATACTCAAAAAAAATGTTTGGATTAATCAGGCCAACCTGATGTCCAATTGTTGAACTGCACATCGAACTAATGAAAATAACAGATAAGATTTTTTTATTAGGATAGAAGGTTGAATTAATTTTGTAAATGAAATAGTTATAATGTGCTACTCCATCCTTAACCCCCAATTTAGGGGACAAAAAATATTGATTTATAAATGACAAATGAGGGCTTTAGAGGCCCTTTGCCATTCCATCATTCTTAAAAAAAAAAAATTACAAACAATGACTTACCCTCCATTTGAATGGGAAGAAAAGTTGAAAGGAAAAAAAAAGGGTAGGAAAGAAAATGGAAAGAAAAGAAAGCTAGAAAGAAAATATTATCACTTATTGTGTTTGGATGGACAGGAAGAAATAAGAAAAAATAAATAAATAAATATTATAACGACTATAATACCTTTATATCAATATGTATTATATCTAATGTAATTATCTTTGTAAAAATAAATTGAAAGAATAAATTATATTAAAATTAATATCATTAAATTAACTTAAAATTAGATTAGTTGTTAAAAAATGTAAAGAGCTAAAGACGCACATTATGTTTCTATTTCTTAAAATCAAATTAATTATATTAAAATTAATATCATCAAATCAAATTATATTAAAATTAGTTGTCAAAATTAAATTAGTTCTAGAAAGCTAAAGATACAAATTTTCATAAAAATCAAAATTTAACTGTTTGTGAGTAATTAATATGGTTGAAACAAGCAAAAGAGGGAGAGAGGGGGAAGGGTAGATAGTGAAAATAATAATTTACTTTCGAAGTCTACCCACCTTTGGGAGAAAAGTTGGGAGTAAAATACAGTGAATCTCACACCTCATTTTCTTTTCAACTTTTTTTCTCTCTCACTTTTTTTCTTCATCCAATAAAAAAAAATATATTTTTTTCTCTTGTTTTTCTCCCATATTTTATTTTCTTTCATATTTTCTCTCCAACCAAATAGAACATTAAGCTTTTTAACCACCCCACTCCATTATATTCCCCACTAAAAAAATCTCTCAAACATAGTGTAAGAATACTTTTAAAAATTTATATTTTTATTTTTAAAAAATAAGATTATTAAGCGTGTTTAATAAACTTTATTAGTAAGTAAAATTTCATCTAAAAATATTTTATAATTTAAGATGGAGAAAATAGATGTTAATTATTCATAAAATATCAATAGACGCCTGTTTAGATTCTATTTTTAAAAATATTTTTTTTTTAAAAAAAAGAACTCATTTGAATGAATGTTTTGATTTTAATTGTTTTCAAATCTATTCTCATTTTAAAAATAGAAACATTTTAAGACAATAACTAATTATTATTAAAAACCACCGCCAATAAACTTGGCAACTATCATTCTCAGTCAATTTTTTAATTTTAAAATTATTTTTAAATTAAAACAATCAAATAAATTTTTTTTATTTTATTTTGGAAAACAATTTAAAAATTATATTGCAAAACAATTTTTAAAAACAATAACATGGAAACACAAACAAACCGGCCCTCAGACACCCTCCTTTCTGAAATAACCCAATGTCCAATCCAAGCCAGGGGTGTATAAGACCAACGGCATTCTCGACATTAAATTTTGAAAATGGAGAAAGACCATAAAAAAATGATACGAAAATCAACTCGAAAGCTAAAGTGGGAAGGACCCAACACTTTTTATTCGACTCAGTAAGTTTAAGCTTTGTTCATCTCTTACGATCATATACACTCGCCCGGGCGAGCAACGAAAAAGATATATAAAAGATCATCACCTCGAATGACTGTATAAGAAGGTGCCGAGGGGCATAGTAACACTAGGCCTCCAAAGGATATGCTCCTGAGGCTGGAAGGGAACCGCAACTTGCGAAACGGATTCATAAGCAGTCTCAGCCAAGTTCTACGTTGATCCAATCATCCAAACATAATCTTCTATGGACTGGAGCCAAATGACTCGGCCATGAAACAAGGGGCAGAGAAGTCTTTCCTAGTGTTTCAGCTCATGATTTTTCTTTCTAATAAACAATGTTGAATTCACTTTCCAGTCGAAAAGAAAGAGAAACCAAGTTGTACGTACAAAACAAACAAGTCAGTGAGCAAAAAGTCAGGCTCTGGTACTCTTTGCCATCTCATCAATATCCAGTTCCACAGCCAACACAGGCGAATCCCTCTGCATGCCAAAGTGACTGGAGGAGAAGTAGAATATACAATTATTAGAGGAGCATCCCCAATTATTAAAAAAAAATACTAATAATAAGGCTCAGAAGTTTGATTTCACCTGTTCTGTACAGGGCCATGGTCTACTGCAGACCGCAAGCAATATATGACTCTGCCCACAATGTCTGTCATTTGAACTGGACCAAATATTCTACTATCATATGCTTCCTGCCATTTGAAGAGTCAAAAGGATAGCCATAAAGTTACAGCTAATCTTAAACGGTCTTTGCGGAAAGTAATCACTTTCTAATTTCTATATGCTATTGCGGAGAATTGAAACACAGACAAAATAAAATTAACAATATCCTCACTTAAGCATATGCTGCTACGTAGAGTACACAGTAAAAAATTATAATGTTCAGATCTGAGATAAAAAAAGCCCGAATTAGTGGAAGAAGTTTTTTTTTTCCTTTCTTTTTTCGGGCTAACAGTTATTTTTCAATTATTACGGGAAGAAGCAAAGTACCAAACTGGTGATGATTGTGCATGAGTAAAGCAACTGCTACCCAAATTTTCACAGTAACGGAGCTTATAAAAGAATTAATATTGAGATACCCAAGTAGAATATATACAAACTCTCTAGCCACATCATACTTGTAAATAACGTTTTCAGAAATGCTTTCACTAAATCGCCAAGCCAAGTTTCCGACCTAATTCATTTCCGACTAGGACATGAGATTTTAACTAGAAACGGTGTTTAAACCTGTTGTCAATCATGACTGCTTAGCATTTTAATATTGGCAGTTCTTTTAGAATGACGAATTTTCTCGAAAAGAAACGCATGGCTATACCTTGGGTTTCAAATTTTGATTGTCAGCCAATACCCAACATTGATCCTGCTCAAGAACGAAAGGTTCATCCTTTTCATTTGCAGAAACCATTTCATACCCTTCAATGGCAGCCAATCTCCTGACTAAATGATTGTTTCGCTTCTCGGGGTCCTTCAGAATGACCACATCTCCTATGAAAACACGCCTGTCAAAGAAACATGTATATCACTAGCAAATAATGAAAAAATGAGAATCTGTTGTGCAATGAGCTTCAGTGGACAATTTAAACCATCAAAATGTTATTACCTAGTGGAACTCCAAAGAACAATGCACAAGAACGAAATAAAGAAAGAAACCCCCACAAAAAAGATTATAGTTTAATAACAAGATCTGATTACAAATCCCGCCCTATGAAGGAATAGCAAACAAGTTTGTTTTTGCCCCCAGCCTGAACTATAAGCTTTATTCACCACTATGAAAGAATAGAATCTAAAAGGTTAATACTTAATACAGAAAAAATGGTATTTCATGATGACATTAAAAGCATTAAAAAGATAAGGAGAACCAACATAAATATTGCCACCCACTCCATAACCATTTCAAAGGCTGTCTAGACCAATATGGTCAAGCAGATTGTTAAAAAACAATATTCTGCCTGCACCTAGTAGAAACTGGGTGAACCAAAAATCGTAAAAGCAGATTGGTTAGTTATCACTGAATGACCAATGGAGAAACATATAATGATAAACCAACTAGAACTTCTACATACCAAACCTATATTCAAGTGCATGATGGAAACAATATTCCCCCGAAAACATCTGTAGGAATGGGGCAAAAAAAAAAAAACATTGTAGTAGTGAACTTCATAGCAAAGGTTATGTTACACGCATTAAAGAACGGCAACTATAGAGTGAAAATTCCAAAATATGTAATTAAGTCTTCAAATAAAACTGCAATTTGTATTCTGTTGTTGTGTATTTTCCACATGATAACACCAAGGTGATGATGACATGGAATGTGGATGTAATCTCCAGGAAAATATCAAAATAATGTATTCCCTGGGATAAAATGGTCCTTATATGCCAACTAGCAATAGCAATATGTAAATTTGTAATATAAAATGTTTACGTTGGGTCTGCTTTTGGTAACTTCCGAACAAGAAGATTCACTCCTTTTCCATCTAGGGTTGGGGCCATTTCCTCTCCTTTGTTCCAGTGCAAGTATGTCAACCTTCCTTGAATGAGATTCTTCCAAATAAGATACTTTACCTCTTTGTCTGTAATTTGACCCCCTTTATAGGTCTGAGTCACATCATTGAATTGGTCAGAAAAGCTTCTAGAAAATTAAAAGCTCATAATGTGATCCACTGGTAGAGTAATGGTAAGGGGAGAGAGAGAAAAGCAAGACTGACAACAAAATATATGTCAACAAAACTGCAGGGAAAAAGATGAAATGAGGAACAGCCAATAGAATAGGATTTTCAAGACTGACAACTAAGCTAGCATAGCTCCACAGCAGGAGATACAAGAAGTTTATGTTCAAGATATCTTCATAGTACACCAAAAGGCATCAAGACTTAAAAAGCTATAGATAACCAAACAAAAAATGACCTTCGCTGACATCCAAGGCTGTTTCCACATAAAACTTATTCACACTTTTTCAGTATCAATGCTACAAATGATATCAAAATAATGTACTGTCTAAATCTACCAGCTTTAAACCTTTAAACTCCTGCTTTAAGAAAATACTTCATTAAACTTCAAATTTTTCCAATAGAAAAAATCTTAGAATTTCATCTCCACAACTAATCAGCCTAAAAGTAATCAAAACACAATAACACAAAATACTATCTCATTCACACCAATGATCTACATATCCTTCCCTATTTACACCAGATAGGGTTCCTACAGTCCCAAATTCCTTAGCTTCCCCTATGACTTAATCCCCTACTACTTAATTCTCACATGACCATGCTGCCCCCATGAAAATGATCCTTGTCCTCAAGGATCAGTACAATGTCATTGGTTATTGCCATGTGGGTACTAAGGGTAATTATTAGGAAACAAGAGGGTAGTCACGGAACCATCTAGCCTCCGTATAAATAGGGGAAGGATGGTCATGTGGTGCTGTGAGATGGAGTTTGTTCATGTTTTTACCTTTGCTATGCATCAGTAAGCAAGCAAGGTCATGTGTTTAAACATTTATGAGAAGTACCATGTAGCAGATATAGAACTAAAGAATTTTCTCATTGTATTAACTCATTGCTACAGTGAGTACCTGAAAGTGAAACAGTCTCACATTTAATTAGTTTCGATCATGAAAAACACCTATGTGAAAATATGATTCACAAGTGCCTGATGTCACTTTCCATCATCTAGTATAGAGTCTGCTGATACAGACTCGGGAACAAAAGATCCGACATTGTTTGATGAATATCTAGCCTTTCGTTGAAATAGAAGACAATCAGTTCCAACACCAAACAACTATATCATTTAACTTGATCTGTATTGTACAAAAAAGTTGGCTAAAACCCCCAAAAAAAAAAAATACCGGTATATGAATATAGGCAAAGCACTCAGCAGAACATTGCACTTGGGAAGCCTATGATTTACTTTCCTGTTTTATAAATAAAAAGGCTAACAATAAAATGCAACAAGGAAATCAACCAATAGAATTCTTCAAACACTCAGGCTGCCTATAATATGGCTAGAGTTGGATCTTTAGTAATTTTTTCAGGGGAATAGATTCAATTAGAGCGGGTGAGAGGAGGGCAACTATAACCCGATTAAGGAATCACATTTGAGTAAAGTTCAGAAGTCAGTTTGAATCGTTAATTGTCTTCACAGAAAACGAAGACCAACTGCATACGTCCAAAGAGACGACAAATGCATTTCAACTGCAACCTTTTGGACCAGGGATCGTATGAAGTGAGTTGCCATTTTATCTCACATTGAATTATAAACCCCAGCATCAACCCAAGAACATTAGAGGAAACCATTATACTTTAATCATATGTAAACGATTCCTATTAATAATTATAAGCGCCACTCAAAGCTGAAAATAACAAATTCCACAATGAAAATATACATGTATTTAAGCCCATTACAACGTCAATGGTGATAGAAGACGGTTAGTTGTCCAAATACGAAAGATAAACTATTCGAGAAGTCGGGAAATGGGAAATTTACGAAATAAAATATGAAAATAAACTTAGGGCTATAGGGTCAGAGAGGAAGTGAGACCTTGAAGCCGATTGATATGGAGTACTCGAGCTTGTGAGCCATGTACCGACACCATGTTGAGAGCGAAGCCATTGCAGACAGAGTAGTCCGCAAAAGTCCGATACTTTTAACTCTTCCGTTCCTTAAACCCACTGAGAAATTTCTATACTCAGGACCCAGAACAAAGATAATAAAATGGACAAACCCTCTAAGACATTTTCTCTTGCGTTTTTGTAAACCGATTTTCGCAACTTCGTATGTTAATTTAACCCTCTTGAAAGCTCCGCTTGGGAATTGGGATGAGCTCTGAAATGGGGAAGGACTCCATGTGCAATAATTATTATTATTATTATATAATTATATAATAAAGAGAAAAAAGAGTAAAAAATTATGACAATGTTTTTGTTTGCAAAAATTTACACTAACAATCTTCTCTTCTTTTTAGAGCCACTATAGCATTCCTTTTTTTATACATTCTACCTTCAGAATAGGGGTTTTTAGAATCATTATGGCAATCATTGTTATTTGTTTTTAAATGTTCATGTTACACAATAGCTTAGCTAACAATTCTCTTATAAGAAATTGTAAAATAAAAATTCCCCCACTCGAACAGGCAAAATAATTAAAAAAGAACAAATGAATCGAAGAATATTCAAATCAATTTCTTTTTAATAAGTAAAAGGAAAAAAATTAAGAAAAACAAACTATTACATAATGAAATGAAGACTAAACAATCCATGTGAAAGAGTTAAGTCTTAATAGTCAGCTATACTTAAAAAATAATCACACTATTTAATAAATAAACAAAGTAAAATAAATTTTACTGTTCATGCAACTGTGAAATTAATAATATTGTGGATCTACCAATAACTTTCTTTTAAAATTTAATTATTTTTCCAAAATTTTAACATATTTTTTAGTCTCAATTTTTTATTTTGTTGAAAAAATTAAACTAACATTAAAAATTATTTTTATATCATATTTTAATAATCTCATATTAACATATTTTTTATCTATGTAAATTTTTAACTTACAATTTAATTTTTCATGAATAATAAGTTCATAAATAAGATATGAGGTTGAAGTAGTTGAATATGATTTAGATGGATTCAATGGCTAATTATTACTCTCCCTTGTTTAAAAATGTAATAAATTTTTAATCAAATCTCACCCCAATAAAGTAATTACTTACTTTTAAATTAATCCTATATTTTTATATTTATTTCTATTAAATACTTTACAATAAATATAAAGTCATTCATTAATAGAATTTTTGAAAAAAAGATAATAAATACACTTCAAAAGATTAAAAATGTTTTACAAACATTCAACTCTTTTAAAAATATCTTATATTTTTAAATGGAGAAAGTATGTTATAAATTTATGATCGTTTGCTCAAATATTTTTTTTAATTATTATTTGAAATAGTAATACGATATATTTATTAATTCTATTTTTTCAAGTTGGCTAACTGTGATTTTGTTTTGCTTTCCATAAATATAATGGATACATTAGAGTTGGATAATACAGAAGACAAGGAAAGAGCACTGTGACTAAAAATGAATGTTTAATGATGTTTAACAATTTAATCACTTATACTTTTTAAGAAAAAAAAAACTTGCAGCATGATTTAATACTATCACGTGTTAACAATTTTTTCCTTTTTTTCCTCTAAGAATAATTAAAACTTTTTAAATTATTTTTTGTTTAAATTAAATAAAAAAATACACCAGGATGATATTTATTGTTTTTGAGTTTCACATGACTTTCATTTTTATTCCTCTAATTACTTCATATATTATATCAAAGCATCTAAAGTTCATGTTTTTAATGCATATGCTTTTATTTCAGAAAAGATCCCAAGCAACGAATAGAAAGATCTATTTTTCATTATTTTTAATCAACTATTATAATTCTATTTTCATGTACAGGTGTAGTTTGCAAAATAAAAAAAGTAAACAATTATAATGTGTTATACACCATATATTAAATATAATAGGAGAATCACCTACCAATTTCTCATGGTTCACAAAAAAATAAAAAAAAAATTATCAACACAAACTCACATAATATTCAAGAACAGGAGGAAATAAATTTTTTTTTTAACCCCATGCACGGTAAGAAAAAATTTCTAATTATATATATATATATATATGTATATATATATATTTCATTTGTTTAAAAATATAAAATATTTTTTTAAAAATTAAATGTTATAAAATATAAATTTTTTAATATTTTAAGATGTAATTATTTTTTTTAAAAAATATTTTTATTAATAATAATTTTATATTTATTATAAAATATTTAATATGAATAAATATAAAAAAATGTGATTGATTTAAAAATATGTAATAATTTTATTAAATAAAATTTAATTAAAAATATTTTATATATTTTAATGGAAGGAATATATAAATAATAAAATTAATTTCATTAATCAATGGGGAAAAGAAACTAAATTTCACAGGGACACGCTTATCCCGTGTGATTCAGTCGTGTCACTCTCGCATTTATTTATGCACAAGATCGAACGTCCAGAATGAGAGAATGGGTCGAACTTCTGGCCCACCAAAATCCGCGACCGCCGCGAAATCCAATATCTCTGTCTCTCTCTCCCCCTGTCAAAACATGTTTGTCAGTTTGCTCTCCTGTGAGAAGATTTTATCAAGTGTTCGCTCACAGAGTTCAAAGGCGTAACTTCCTGATTGCAGTGACAACCCTGTTGGTAACTTGGTTTGATCCCCTCGTCTACTCTCACAACTTGAGTTCCTCGACAATTCAATTCCAGGTTTGTGGATGGTCATAACGCTATAAATATGTTGTTATTCCCCTTTTTCGTTCATCCTGGTTGACAATATAAATATCATCGGATTTTGGAAACGAATTAGTCGGTGCGAAATGTGTTATTTATTTTTCCCTTCATGATGAACCTCAGCGGTGTTTTCACTCTAGTGTCAATGAATGAGCCGATCTTTGTGTTTATCCCTCATTTTCACGTCTTCATATATTGTTTTTTTTTTTTTAACCCATTAGGCTTGTGGACTGTGAAATCTGTTCAAATAATGGACAAGTTGAATCTAGCTCAATTGGGTGAGAAGCTGAAGACGAGTGGAGCTCAAATGGGTCGAATTGTTAGTGACAAAATGAAGGAAATTTTGCAAACCCCTACTCCTGAATCAAAGATGGTTGACGAAGCAACATCGGAGACCCTAGAGGAACCCAACTGGGGTATGAATTTGAGGATATGTGCAATGATCAATAGTGGAGAATTTAATGGATCCGAGATTGTGAAGGCCATAAAGAAGAAGATTTCAAGCAAGAACCCAGTGAGCCAGAGGCTGAGTCTTGACTTGCTGGAAGCCTGTACTATGAATTGTGAGAAAGTGTTTTCTGAGGTGGCATCAGAGAAGGTGCTTGAAGATATGGTTCGAATGATTGATAATCCACTAACAGATCATCAGAATAGAAGAAGGGCCTTGCAGTTGATCAGGGCTTGGGGAGAGTCAGGGGATCTTGCCTACCTACCGGTGTTTCGTCAAACCTATATGGTGAGCGTTTTTACTTAATGTGTTATGAGTTGGTCTAGATGCTTACTGATCCGTTTTTCCTTGTCCTTTTATGTTGTTATTATACTAACAACTCACTGAATTTCTTGTATTGATTCTTTTTGTTTGCTTTTCTGGGATCCTGTAGACGAACTTGTTTATATATTTTTTTATTATGGACTCTAGCCCTTTCAATGAACTTATTTTTTAGCCGGACATTTGGCAATCCAGGATTAAAATACGATACATTATGCAGATCAATATCAATAAGTGCATAACTCACAAATAAGAGGAAAGTGGGGGAAAACAGTAGCTTCTGATGCCCACAACAGTTGGCCTTAGATCTACTATGGAAGTATGCCAAAACAAGTTTGTTTCAACTAAATTCATTTATTTAAATAAAGATTTCATAAGAAATGTTAGAATGTTTTCTTCTTAAGAAACTATTAAATGGAGTTGTTTTTTTTTTTTAAAAAAAAAGTAAATTCCCGTGCCTTTTTATCTGGCTTCGGAGAAGCAACTTTGTCATGGTTTTATAACTTGATTACTTTGTTGATTTTTCCTGTCTTCTATAGCTCGCAGCCATTGTTGTATACTGTTGTATAATCTTGATTGGAATAGCCCTTCCCAGGCAACCCTGAGTATTTTCTTATTAGGAGTGCTTGCAGCATAAGCCTCCACTTTCTCACTTGCTTTCAACTCTCTCTAATCCATCAAGTAGAGAGCCTCTCTTTGTCTTTCTTTAATTGGCTGTTTTTATTCTGCTGTATTTTGCTGTGTCATGTGTATTATTAAATTTTACCCCCTACTGGTTGATGGCAGAGCCTGAAAGGAAGAAGTTTGCCTCTGGAGATAGATGGAGAAAATTCAGCGCATGTTCCATATTCCTTGGAGTCTCATGTACATGAAGATTCATTAGATCCTCCTGAAAGTTATCCTATTCCTGATGCTGCATTTCATGTGATGAATAGATCTGGTTTCTCTTCTAGTCCCAGAAGCCTATCGGTTGAAGAGAAAAAGGAGCATCTTGTCATTGCTCGAAACAGTCTTGAATTACTCTCTACCATATTAAATTCTGGAGCAGAGCCAAAATTGTTGAAGGTAAACCTTCTGAAGTTAAAGGAAGTCAGCATTCTGTGAGTTTTAGTGCTTTGTGCATGTTTGTTCTTGTGTGCTGGTATCTCCTCTTAACAGATGTTTATATAAACATATGCATGAAATGTAAATCCATAGCAGCATTATGGGAAGATGGTGTAAATCGTTTTATAAATATGGAGTCCTTTGTTTGTAGACTTTGAAGAGTGAAATTATGGGAAAGAAGCTACATGCTTTTCAAGGCAAGAGTAATGGTCAATTGCAGATACTTTAGTGCTTAAAATGTCCAATTAGTCATGATAACGGTGTCATTTTTTAGGTATGAAAATTTCATTAACTTATGAAACGTTTGCCCCCTTTTTTCTGTGAGTCACTGGTATTTCCTATATCGCTAAATAGATAGAATAATTCTTCACTGATAGAATTTATCAAAAATGGCGCATGGTTGCAGGAAGATGTGACTGTGAGCTTGTTGGAAAAGTGCAGGCAGTCACTATCTGTCATTAAGGTGATTGTTGAAAGCACCGCTGATGATGAGGGAACACTTTTTGAGGCTTTGAACCTTAATGATGAGCTACAACAAGTAGTTTCCAAGTACGAGGAGTCGGAAGCTGCCCAAGACTCTAGAGCACAACCATATGTAGCAGCTGATACCACGAAGCATGTTGCAGAAGCTGTTCAAAATCCCATCGGACCACCTGAAAGCGTTGAAGGTGATGAACCTCGTGAGTCAGATGCTGCTGATAGACTTCAGAGGAAGGTGTCCAATAAGCCCGACGCTTCTGAGGTCAATTCTACTACTGTTGTTTATAATCACTGTGAGGCCAACACAACGAATTGCGCAAAAGACAAGGATGCTGAATTGAGCGGCAAGAGAGATGCTGAATAAGGAAAGAGGAAGTCGGCATGGTTCGTGTAGCATTAAATTTTATCGCTGTCCATATCTTAGTAGTAGCTTTTGGTTCTTTCGTGCTGTTGACCGTATCTCTAGAACATGAAAGTGGCCGGAGTTTCTCCCTGAACGCCTGTGAAACTTTATATCTAATTGGGATATCATGCGTGTTTCTTGTGACTTGATTCACGGTCTCTAGTTATGTGCGTCCTCGTTTCAATCTAAAATGTGTAGTTTAGCGCAAGGAGTAAAATAACGGTAGTTGTACTTTATGACCCTTTGTTCAGACTCTAGAAAATAGAAATATCCTATAGCACCAGAGACCTCAATAATTGATGTAAACCAAAAAAAGCAGACAAATATAAATCAAGGATTTAGATCTGATTTCTTCAAAAATTTAAAACAATTTTTACAATCAAAACACTTTTTATAATACTCTCTTCAAAAAAATTGAGATTTGATATTTTTTAAGTATTGTAGAATAGTTTTTTTTTAACTATTTAATTAAGTTGAATGATTTTTATCATGCTATATAAAATACTCGTTGAGTGACTGAATTTAGATTATTCACTTAATTCAAATTCTATAAATTGGACAGAAACTAATCAATCCCACCAAGATGGGATTGTATCTAATCTTCAACCGAGCAGCACATTACGTGGTATTTTCACGCATTTGGGATATGGTGTATCAGGACCCTTTTCCTGAACCCTGATTCGTTTATTTTTATGCATGGTTAAAATTGTTACCATCCTAGTGTCCTACGACCCCTCTTCCGTCTCTTAATGATCGAAATTCGAAATTACTCTGGTATCAATTGATTGAGAGTAAAATACAAACGCAATTATTCAATTTATTCACCACTTTACATGTCAGTGTCATCGATGAATTACATCATAACTGTAAATATCTTTAACGTTAGCCATTACACAGATCTAACAAACCAAAATCTTTTGTTTTCGCTCTGCATTTATATCTACATGTTATATATATATATATACACACACATATATATAAAATATATTTTTGGGGTTTACTTTCGGTCCCTTTTTGCGCAACGTCCCGAAAGAAAATCTAATCATACTAACAGGAATACATTCGATATCTTTAACAACCAAGTACTAAATCCAAGTATCTAGCCACCGCATAAAACCTAGTTTGAATTACTAACAGGAACGTTGGTAAAGAAGAAGAAAAAGAAATATTGACAATAACAGATCCTTACTACTTTCCTGTTTTGGTTTTTTCGTCCTGCCTCCTTTTCTTTTCTGGATCTTTTTGAGTAGAAATATCCGAGATTAATGGAAGAACGAAGCGGTAAAATAAAATACAATTCTAAGGTTAGCATTTCTTTATAATCTTTTTTATTTTTTTGGGGCGCAATTATCGTTATAGTAAGTCTATCAGAAGTAACGCAAAAATAAAAAAAAATGTAAACAATAACAGATTAGCCTTCGTACTGTGTCAAATCCAATGGAACCTGGAAACTAAATTTGGGCAAATAATGGATGTCTTGACATCGGAAATTGAAAGAACAGTGCGGAGTTTGCGTTATGCAGAAGAGGTGCAAGTTATTTTGTGTCATCACAAGTCTTTGTACGTACAAGTCATTATTAGTTGTGGGCGTTCATTATTTAATTGATCATTCATTAGTCATTCATCTCAAATTCTACAAACACAAACACATATATTAATTTTTTTATTCATGTTTTTACAAATGCAAGCGGATGAGAATCCTGCATGGTTCTATTTTTAACAGGAAGAAAAATAACTACTACGATCGAGAAGAGTTAAAGAAGGAATTTAAAAAAAAAAAAAAAACAAATCTATGTGCCTGAATGATATCTGTATCAGTGGTTTCCAAGTTGTTTAGAATTTTTGACAAAGCTGTAGGATAGCTTGAGAGCATTTTTAGTGTCTTATTTTTATTTTTTTATTCATGAAATATGGGGTAACTACTAACCAAGGTGTTTGTGGGATGGGACAAGATTGGAACACCTATGTCCTGTGTCCTATCCTCAAAAAAAATTAGAATTAAATTTTTATCTCATATCTCATCTTGTCCTGTTAAGAATCAGGAGGACATGAGTGGGACGAGATCAGGATGTCCCACCATCTTGATAAATTAAATAATATTAGAAAAATATTTAGATAATAATATTCATTAAAATTTTAAATTATATAATTTATTAAGTTTAAAATTAAAACAACACAATTATATAAATCACAACAATTTAAAGTCAATTATTGAATTGCATTAATCACAACTACACATTATGATAGTAATTGCAAGTGATCTCTAGGTTATCAGAGTAGTAATAGGAAAGCTAAACACGACATCAAATCATTGTTCTTCTATTTTAGTTGAGATGTGTTAAGATAATTACTCTTCTAAAAATAAAACAACAAATACAATATAAATAAAATTTATTAAATAGATAGATATAAGAATAAATTATATTAATATAATTAATATATTATAAAAAAAGATATCGTCTTGTTTTCTCTATGTCATTAAAATTATCAATATAACAAAAATTTATTTTTATATAAGAATTGCAACTATTGAAATTATAATTGATATAATTAATATAAATATAAATTATATTAATATAATTAATGTATTTAATGTATATTTTGAAATATATATATATATATATATAATATTCAGGATGAGATATCCCAATGGTAATCACATGTTTCATCTCAATTGTTTTCGAGACAAAATGAGACCTCTTCTAATATGATTGAGATGATATTGAGCCAATTGAGATAAGTACAAGCTAAACACCCTCAGGGGTGATGATAATGGAATTCTTTCCTTTGTGTATTTTCATTTCTCCGACATTTTCAAAGTTATTTTTTACTCAATTGGTTCTGACTTTTGAACCCTTGAAAGTTAGAAGTGCAGCAGAGGATTAATATTACTTGAGATGGAAAGTTGTATTATCTAACAAAAAATATAATTATTGAGTTTTAAAGTGATTTGATTTAGGTCTTTATAATTTTGTTCTCGTTGCTCAAGGATATAGTTTATCTTGTTTATAATGTCAATCTATTTATTTTTGAATATGCCCAGAATGAAGAAAGAATAACAATAATGGTGTTAAATATGATGACATATGATTAATACTGTTAATTTGTACCAGTATAAAATTATGATTTAGTATATTAACTCTATTGTTCATCTCATTCTAATGTTTTACTTACTCTAGTTTTATTTATAAATCACTTTTAGCATATTTTATCGAAATTAAAGAAAACTTTAAACTTTATTAACCTTGTTTTAAAATTTAATAAGTTTTCACTTTATTCCTAATATGTGTTCTTAAATCTCATTACTAATATTTTTATTTAAAGCATTTAATAAAAGTAAAAATATAAAGAGGAACGTTGAAAATTGATAAGTACCTTATAAATAGAATCAATTTTTTTTTCTCTTTACCTTATAAATAGAACTAGAGGAATATGTTTCAATCTATTGAATTATAATTTTATCTCCGCACATATTAACAATATTAATCACAAGTCAATATATTTAATATTGTTAGTGTCATCTCTTCATTCTCATGAACATGTTTTAAAATAAAGGTATTAACATTGTAGACAAAATAAATTGAAAGGATCCCTAACAATTAAAAATAACTACAAAACCTATATCAAAACACATTAAAATTATAAGGATTAATAGTTATATATTTCTTATCTAACATATATACTTCCTTTGATCCTTATTATAAGACATTTAGTCGGGTCATGCATATTAAAAAAAAGTTAATTTTTTTATATCATAAAAAAGTGAGAGATACTTTTATTTTTACCTTTGATTTTAAATAATAATTAAACCATATTAAAAACCTTCACACTAATGAAGAAGAGTTAAAATTAGAAAAAAATGGTTTATTGCTTATTTGGTTTGCCCAAATAATTGATTACTCCCTCCGTTCTTATATATAAGGTGTTTTTAAAAGCTTATTTTGTTCCTAAATATAAAGGGTGACAATGATATTTTTGAGTAATTAGATAATTTTATCCTTGTCTTGGATAATAAAATAGATCATTAATTATATATTTTTTCTGCCACAATCATGATATTAATTATGATATTATTAGAGATAACACTGAAAATTATTGTATTTTATGTGAATTTAATTAAATAATAAATATTTATTGATATGTGAGATTCAGTTAAAAATATTTTATTTATAGGAAAGGAGGGAGTATTTGGGAGGAAACCATGGTTTGAAATTTTTTTTGCCGAAATAGCATAATTAATCAAATAATCAATTATATAGGCAAAATAACATTTTGTAATAAGTTACCTCACAAATTTTCTTAAATCAAATAATCAATTAGGCCTCTTTATTTTTGAATAATTGGATGAGAAATCGTTTTAAGCCAATAAAATGATAAAGGGAAGTTGTGAAGCTACCTCATTAGATTGTGTCACTATCCATCCACTCCACATTTTTCAATACTGTGATTGCATCCTATCATAAAAATATAGGTAAAATGTTAATATTTTATAATTTAAACAATTATAATTAATCAAATATATAAGTTAAAAATATTTTACTTTTTAAATAAAATTAAAAAAATTTAATAATATTATATATAACTTTATTAATAATTTAATTTAAAAAAATAATATCCTTTGTAATAAGTTATACAGCTAAATTTAATTTGGATCAAATTATTTAAACATTTTTAATTATATTAAAATTAATTTTTAAAAAATAATATTCAAATAGATTGTATTATAATATAATTAATTATAATTAAAATTAATTATATTAATTAATTATTTTATAATCAGTTATGTCCAATTAAAATTCAAATAGATTCTTAATTATTATAAAATATTTTATATTTTAAATTAAAAATTAACTTTGAAAAATATAAAAGTATATATATATATATATATATATCATCATCATCATCATTGTGTACAAAAGCTTTCATTTTTTCATGGAAAAAAAAAATCGAAAGCGAAGATTGCACACGAAACAACTTTTTTTGAGAAAAAGAACGAGAGGTCTACGATAGTTAAAGAGAAACTCACTTCTTATATTCATGCTTTTCACATAAAATGATTCACACTCACAGCCCCAACTCTAAATTTGGCGCTTGTCAAGCAACGGTTGAGAATTCGCTGGTTCTCTCCATGAACACCAATGCCTTCGTGAATCTCCCATCTTCCTTCCTTCCTTCCTTCTCTGTCCACTCCTTCCAATCTTCCCACCTCCTTCGTTCAGTTTTCCGGCATTTCATCGCGCCGGAATTCTGACATTTCGCCATGAACGACACCGATGATGAAAGCGAAGTCCGGAAGGCCCCGATCATAGCGAAGGATGTGTATTTCATCAAAGATGAGAGAACCCTCAAGGGCCCGGATCTTGCTGATAGGGAAAGGCCCCATGACGACCCTGATTCTGAAATAGAGGACCACGAATTCGCCGCCCAGCCAGATGGAAACCCAAGCCCTGCCGAACTCAAGCTTAAAACCAAGAAGGCGTTGTTGGAATTTCGATGCAAGGTTGAAGATTCCATTCTTGGCAACTACTTGTTAGGCGAATCAGACCAGAGACTCTCGCTTGGAGAAAGAGCGTTAGCCGCGGAAGAATTGAGAGAAATTACTCTCTGGGGCATCCCATTGTTGCCCAGTAAGGCTCATGAGGGTACCGATTCGGTTTTGTTGAAGTTCTTGAAAGCCAAAGATTTATGCGTTTCTGATGCCTTTGAGATGCTACAGAAGACCATGATATGGCGAAAGGAAAACAACATTGACACAATCCTCGACGAGGATTTGGTTTCTGAGTATGCAAAATCTATGTACATAAACAGCAGGGACAAAGAGGGTCGTCCTGTGTGTTACCTCGTTTATGGGGTTTTCAAGAACAAGGAGCTGTATAAGAAAGCCTTCGGGACAGAAAAGGAACATGACAAGTATTTGAGGTGGAGGATCCAATTCATGGAGAAGAGCATGAAGAAGCTGAACTTCAGAGAAGGAGGGGTGGATTCCATGGTTCAGATTATTGATTTGAATGACACACCGAAGCACGTAATGAAGGAGCTCAATTCAGTCAGCAAGAAAACTTTGGCTCTGTTTCAAAACTACTATCCTGAAACCATTTATAGAGAGGTTGGTATCAAAACAACTGCTTATTAGGATTTTGATTTTCTGAAATCTAACTGACATTGAAATTTCTGTTTTTGGGCATATATACAGATAGTTGTAAATGCTCCATTTTGGTTCTACACCTCCCAATTGCTATTCTCACGGTTCACGAGTCATAAAAGTGAAAAAGAGTTCACGTTGACTAGACCACCTAGAGCCACACAGACACTCCTCAAGTGAGCTTTCTATCCATTTTTCCCATCTTATATTTTCCATTATTTTTTTAAAGAAATATCAATTATATTACAGAGAAAAAAGTTACAATACAGCTATATCATAGTATTCCTGAATAAGTTCCAGCAGGGGGGATATAAGGAAAATTATGGGAGTTATTTTATTCATTAATAAACGCTATCATCCTGACTATTTTCTCAATAACCTGAAAAAGGTTCATAGCCCCAGAACATCTTCCAGTTGAATATGGAGGTCTCAAGAGGAAAAATGACCAAGATTTCTCCCCCGTGGATAAAACCTTAGAACACAAAATCAGAGGAAATACAATTTCTACAGTTGAAATTCCAGTGCATGAGGTGAGCCCAACTTTATTATGACGCTTTCATACCAAAGTTCCTATGACCTAATTTTCACTCATAAAAATTTCGATGTTTGGGAATTGGGATGTGCGTCTAGCCTGGAGTGACACTAATCTGGGATGTAACTGTGGTGGGATGGGAAGTGTCGTACAAGGAAGAATTTATTCCAGAGGATGAAGGCTCATACATTATATTGCTGCAGAACCAAAAGAGAATGGGTGATAGTATAAGAAATTCCTTTTACATAAATGAACCTGGGAAGATTGTGATTACAGTTGGAAATGGAACCTTCAAGAAGAAGAGAATGTGCTATAGATCTAAAGCTGTAACTACTGTCCCCATGTTCATCTTTTTGAAATGATCCACAACAGATGGCTTAAGCTGAATTTGAAGCTCGTAGTTTCCAAGTGGCTCTGAAGCAACCATACGTGGGTTGATTGAATAGGTTGTCTAACAAGTTGTTGATTACCAGAATTGATTGTCTATGTCCAATATTGTATATTTGTACAGGATTCTTTCCTACATTGAGCTTGAAATAGAAATCGCATGTGATAGTGTCTAGTTACGTTGTACTGTATGATTTATAAGAATCCTGTATCTTCGCATGGTCAAAAATTATTCCTTATGAAATTTTGTTTCGGATGTGTTGTGAAATATTCTTAAGTTGGATAGCGATTTTCGAGTTTCTAACTAATAAGGTTATAAAAGTTATAATATCATGTTAAGAATTATTTTAAATTTGACAATCGAAGTTTCTCGCAGCTATATCTTTATGAGAGCTTAAATATGCTTGAACAGGGAAAAAAGAAAAAGATTTCCTACACCCTCAAGAAAAATTCGAATCTGCATCTTTCAATTAAGTTGCATGTCGTGAATTAATTATTGTAATATTCCATATGTGCTTGACAGTTAAATATTCAAATTTAACATTTCTTGAAAATTGTTTAAGATTTCCGAGTTTTGCATATAAAGACGGCAGTTTAAAATTAAAGGAGCTTATATGGATCAGGATACTGGAAATGCTGAAACAAGGTAATAAATGATTAATGTGGCTTCAGAACTTCATTACACGAATGTGCATGCTTTCACACCTCGAAACTTGAAACATAGACTTCTGCAAGAAATTTCAACCTATAGATTCGATAAGAAGTTAAATCACGGCACTGAACAGAGACCGTAATAAACAACTATGAACCACATTCAGAAACAGCAGGTAAATTCCCACCAAAGCACCATAAGATTACACCCAACTGGTAAAGTAACTGATCGCGGACAAATAGCCCATCATTATCCTCCAACATCTATCCTCATGAAACTGATTCAATGTAAAAAGGATCGGAGGGAGGGAGATATAATAAATTCAAGTGATGGAGGTGTCAACTGTCAAGCATAGATATATGGTCCCTGATAATGTTTGATTGGGCCGTATAAGGTTGTGGGCAAGAGGTATCACTGCTGCATCAGATACGAATAGTGGCATGTCTTCGTTGCCTTATAGGAGAAGAATGTAAAAGCCAACCTCATTTATATGAGGTGTAACTCATTAAGGTTTCATAGCCATGCATGCTGAAGAATGTCTTAACCTCGACAGCCCACCTTCTGACGTGTCCCTCACTCACCCCTCTCGTTTTCACCATAAATCACACCCACATACCCTAGGGGTTCTCCGCTTCACCAGCAAGGAAACGCAATCATGGCTAAGCTTTCTAATTCGCTCTCTCTTTGCCTTTGGTATTCGTTTTTGGTTCTGGGTAGCTGCTTCACTTTCCGGGAGCAGCCACAGCAAAATGAGTGCCAGTTGGACCAGCTTGAGTCTCTGCAACCGGATAACGTAATTAAGTCGGAAGCCGGTCGGGTTGAGACATGGAACCCCAACCACAAGCAGTTCCGGTGTGCTGGTGTGGCACTGACTCGCTGCATCTTGGAACAACACGCCCTTAAGATTCCTTCTTACTCCAATTCTCCCCAACTCATTTACATCCAAAGAGGCAAGTAATACTAACACTGCCATGTCGTATTAAAGACAGACACACATACATCAATTCATTCATATAAATGCAGGTAGAGGAATGTTTGGGATTGTGATTCCTGGGTGTGCTAACACATACGAGGAGGCACAACTGTCAGAGTCCGGAAAGATCTGGAGGTCCCGAGATCGTCACCAGAAAATCCGGCAATTCGAGCAAGGTGATCTGATAGCGGTGCCGCCGGGTCTTGCTTTCTGGATGTACAACAACGAGAATGATCCCGTTGAAGCCATATCTCTCCTTGATACCAGCAACTACATCAACCAGCTTGATAGGATGCCCAGGGTAATCATAATCAAATGACACATTCATCTTTTTCTTCAACTATCCTGGCCTCAATTAATTGCCAACTAATTCTTTATCGATGTGTTCTCTTTCATTTTGTAATTTGTGATATGACAAATAGAACCAAAAGAGTAGCTTAATTTTAACTTTTGTTTGTTTGACACTTGATGGCAGAAATTTTATCTTGCTGGGAACCACGAGCAAGAATTTCTGCGATATCAGCAACAACAGCTTGAGGAAGAAGAACGACAACATGGTAGTCATCAAGAAGGCCAACAACAGCAGAGAGGTAGTGACAACGTGGTCAGTGCATTCGACAGGGCTTTGCTGGCTCAAGCCTTGAACACGGACGAGGAGATAGTCGGTGAGATCCAACAAAAGAACGTTAAGAGTGAGGGAGGCATAATCAGAGTGAGTGGCAGCGGTCTCCACATCTTCCACCCACCTTCCAGGACACAACGACCAAGGAAACAGAAAGGAGAGCAAGAGGATGAAGAACTTGAGGGCGAGGAACAACAACAATCAAAGCAGCAGGAGAGAGGCCAGGAAGGACGCGAAGGAGAGAGCGGAAGCGACAATGGCTTGGAGGAGACATTGTGTAGCCTCAGACTTCACCAGAACATCGGACCTTCCGCATCCCCTGACATCCACCATCCTCAAGCTGGTAGCCTCAAGACCGTCACTAGTTATGACCTCCGTGTTCTCAAGTTGCTCAAGCTCAGTGCTGAGTTCGGTTCAATCCGCAGGGTAATCATTCCATCAAAACCCCTCTTCCTTATGACAAAATCATTTCATTTGAACTATAACGATTGATATGAATGAAGTGTTGGGGTTTCAGAATGCTTTATACGTGCCACACTACAACTTGAACGCTCACAGCATAGTTTACGCACTAGAGGGAAGGGCTGAGGTTCAGGTGGTGGATTCCAATGGGAAGTTGGTCTACAACCAGGAGCTGCGACAGGGAGAAGTGCTGACGGTGCCACAGAACTATGCGGTGGCGATTAGGTCAGAGAGCAACCAATTCTCGTTCGTGGCATTCAAGACACACGACATGGCCATGATGTCGACGCTGGCGGAGCAGATGCAGGCGTGGCCGGAAGAAGTGGTAGCGTGCGTATACCGGCTGAGGAGGGAGCAGGCTAGACAGCTCAAGAACAATATTCCGCTTCATTACTTGCTTCCCCCACAACAGTCTCGGAGGCCCGTGGCTTAGAATTAGAAACATTACAAATATGATAATATCCCGTGTCTACCAGAGATGATCCTAAATAAACAAAGCAAAGGGCACAGAAGCCTGTCGTTATGGGAGTGTGTAAAAGAGTAAAAGATGTACTGTTTTTGCCCCTAAATATGATAATGCAATATAAGTACTACAATTTCGAACTCTGATTCAATTAATGCGCTTTCTAAATTGTAGCGGAAACAAGGCTTATCTGAAATGGGATTTTAAATCCTTTTTTTAATTAAATCTCATAATAAAAGATTCCTTTTTTATTAAATGAAGAAAAAATATGCACAGGCGCAAGTTGTATAGCAATGTTAATTAGTTAGGACATTAATTTTTTTTTTTTTCCTTACACATCTGGTATCCTAGGTAGACCATCTTTCAAGTACAACAATGACCAAACTAATTCAAATTCATCTATAGTCAGGCACCTCAAAGGATGGGAGAGCTGGCCAAAGGACATTTTTTCATATCCAAATAGGGATCGAACCTTGCCATTCAGTTAAGGGAGGATGAGCCTTTACCACTCAACCACATGCCCCTGGTTTAGTTAAAACGTTGATTTTAAGAAAACATATATGGCCAAGAATACTAGTGGATCCGTCCCAAAATGTCTCGCTCTTGTTACCTATCATATATCCACCACTGCAGGGGGCATGGAAGGCGTGTATACATGATCACAATATAAATTTCTAATTAAAAAACGTGTATTAATACAAATTAAGATCTTGTTCTTTCGTTACATTAATATTAGGAACTAAATTTTTTACTTTGGAAATGGAATAAATGAAGGCGGCCCAAAATGTCTGATATATAGGATCATTTTTTCCCCAGATGTCGAATTTGCGAAGAAATTTAAAGAGGACGATCCTGCAAGTTTCCTAGCGTCAGATTACCAATTGAACAAATGAAAAGCATAAAAAGGCAAGAGAAGGGTCAGTGATCATGGCAACTGGTAACTGGTTAGCCCAAAGGAGACTGTATAGATATAGAATGACAATAACAGACTAGAAGTGCTGATATATACACTTGTATTTTGTATAGTTATGAGCAGCTGTAGTAGTCTAGGTCTTAACAGGATCAGTGGCGGTCTTGTGGCTTAAAATTAAATTATATATATACATGGCTAATTTATGAACTAATTTATTTGATTCAGGATGTAGCTTAAGGCTTAACAAGAGTGAGGTTATGAGTTGAGACTCAAGTATAGAGGACGGAATAAAAGATAATATATGAACGAGCAAGAAGGACGTACGATATATAAGGACCATTCATGATCTAGCCACCTGCACTACGAGCACAATGAGGTGTAAGGAAATTGGGAAGTGGTAGCCATGCACGCCCAAGAGTATCTGCATATGACTACGCATCATCTATCTGTCTAAACCCTATCCATACATATGTAGATTGCAGACTATTGTCTCCTAGCTTGAGTCACGGGTCAGATTCAAGGGAGAGTAAATGAACACGCGTTGCTATCAGTATTTCAACTTCCGATGCCTAAATACAAAACGAAGATGACCCGAATTTTGAAGCCTACGGATATACAGTCACCTGAATTAATTCAATTTGCTGGGTTTTATATAATTACTCTGTGAATATAGATATCCATGGCCCAAGCTGACTGCTACGTGGTCCCGTTTCCTTTGGTCACTCAGCAGGTCAGGTTCCCGGCTTCCGCATAGAAACAATATCATAATTGGATCATTATGCGATTCTACGAAGCATCGATCGGAGCCAGCATCAGAGTTCATGAGGTGTAAGAAATTAGGGTTCCATAGCCATGCAAGCTGAAGAATGTCTAAATCTCAGCAACCCACATTCTATGATGTGTCCTTCATCCACCAAACTCCTAGCCACAATAAATTAATCAGAACGCCTGGTGATCCGCTTCATCGGAAAATCCAATCGAGTTCGCAATGCCGAAGCCTAATACATATCTGCTTGGTTTTTCAACTCTCCTTGTGGTTTTGGGTGTCTGCTTGGCTCGGCGGGCCGAGCAAAAGCAGTTTAACGAGTGCCAACTCGAGAGACTCAATGCCTTGGAACCCGACCACCGCGTCCAGTCGGAAGCTGGCGTCACTGAGAGCTGGAACGCCAACCACCCAGAGCTCCGCTGCGCAGGCGTCGCCGTTGTGAGGCGCACCCTCTATACCAATGCCCTCCACTTGCCATCATATTCCAATGGTGCCCAAATGCATTTCATTGTCCAAGGTGGACAAATTCTCTTGTACCAATGTTCTCCCTCGCTTTAATTTTTATCTATTAGCTAGTCATATTTTTGACAAAAGTCAAGGTCAATTTTTCCCCCTGAATTTGTATGAGTGTATATGTCATGTATTTAATTATTTGTTATTGAATTGGCGTGGGCTACATCAGGCAGGGGAGTGATTGGAGTTGCTATTCCTGGTTGTGCTGAAACATACGACGCACCACAACCAGAAGACCGCCACCAGAAGCTTCATGAGATTAAAGAGGGTGACATAGTCGCAATTCCGGTTGGAATTTCTTATTGGACCTACAATAATGGGGACACCCCACTTGTTGCCATCACTCTCATTGACACCACCAACGAGGAAAACCAGCTTGATCCAAACCCAAGAGTAAGCTCATTCAACTTTTGTTAGCATAATTAGTAAGCTTAAAGGGTATGGTATTATTATCACCTTTTACATTTTGTTGAGTGGTGGCTAATTGGGTGCAGAGATTCTATCTTGCTGGAAACCCAAAAGAAGAGCACCCAGAGACATTGCAAGGCAAGCATGGGAAGCAGCAACAGCAACGCAAAAATATGTTAAGTGGATTCGAAACACGGTCGGTGGAGGATGCTTTCAACGTAGACGAAGAGATAGCAAGCAACCTTCAGTCTCAGAGCGCCCGAATAGACCAAATGATAACAGTAAGAGGAGGTCTTGGTATTATGAGCAGGCCACAGTCTCAACAAGGACAACAAGAGGAAAGAGAAGAAAAACAGAGGCAACAAGGAGAAGGAAGTGGAAATAGCCTTGAGGAAACCCTTTGCGGCTTAAAGATTCACCAGAACATCGCCGACCCATCACAAGCTGATTTCTTTAACCCCCTAGCAGGACGAATCAGCGGCACCAGCCTCTTTGATCTCCCAATCTTGAGAAGGCTCCAATTGAGTGCACAACATGTTGTGCTATACAGGGTAAGTGGCTTTCACCATAAACAGTATAATTTATTTGAGAGAAAGAAATTACAAGATCAAAACTAGGATTTGATGTGATAACGTCTCGAATGAGCAGAGGGGAATGTACACACCACACTGGAACGTGAATGCGAACAGCATCATATACGTGACAAGAGGAAGAGGAGGAGTACAAGTGGTGAATTGGGAAGGTAGGTTAGTGTTTGATGGAGAACTGCGAAGGGGCCAGTTGCTAGTGGTGCCACAGAACTTTGCGGTGGCACATCAAGCGTGGGACGAGGGATTTGACTTCATATGTTTCAGGACTCATGAATTGGCCATCATAACTCCTATACTGGGGAAGCAATCCTTCTTTGAGGCTACTCCTGCTAAAGTGCTTGCTAATGTATACGGGCTTCGCCTGCAACAAGCGCTTGACATCAAGCATTCTCGGGAGGAGGGCTTTTTATTCAGCCCTTCACAATCTCAAGAACCTTTGGTTGTTAAGGCCTGAACTAGTAGATATATTTATATATATATATATATATGCCACATAATAAAGTTTTGGCTGCTGGAAAACCGAATATAAATATGGCCTCACGTGCCTGAGCTCTGTTAATATGGTGGCTTTATATGCTCTTTATTAATAACAGGGAAGTAGTCACTTTACCATACGATTACTTTGCATATCATTTAATTTTGGTTAATACTACATCTGAAACTCGAGAATGTAAAGCAACAATTTAGCAAGGCAAGCCCACTGGCCAGAACAGATAAACTTTATCGCACAGAAGGATCGATTGGCCCCAAAAACTCATAAAGTATATATTTTGTTCACTACAAAAAAAAAAAAGGATTCACCAGAGTCACCATCTAATTTGTTGATAGCTATGAAAAATCGAGTATTTATATTCTATTACTACCCTACATGTAAGATCCTTGTGATTATGATCATGATTACTTATTCTCTAGCCAAGAGGCCAGTATATATAATAATGTTACCAAGCAGCGATCATAGTTTCAGTCTGGTGCGGAGTACAGGGTACTGCAGTGCATAGTACCACAGAAGAAAGCTAAATATTTATCATTCCGTACAGGTGTCAAGTGTGCTTAATTAAGCGTGTGACTTGGTGAATTTATCATATCCACTAAAGGGCCTTGTTTGGACCTTCTCACCCAAAACGAGCGACAATTTTGGCTTGCGTTATATTATTTTTTTAGAATTTTTTTAAATAAAATAAAAAAAGAATCGACCGTCTACTACATAGACAACGTCGTGACATTATAGTTATGCGATGGACGGTCCTAATCGACAAGTATTAATCACGCTCGTGTTCAATTTGAAGAAGGGGCAGTCCCTGAATATAGTCAATAGCAGCCATGTTTTGTTGAATTAAAACTCAACTAGCTAGCTAGACCATTTCATACGGGCCGTGATGAAACACACACACACACACACACAAGCCGCTGCTACAGGGGCTTTTATTTTTCATTACCTAAGCATCTACCTGACTGAAAACGACACCACGTGAGGCATACATGATATATATATTTCAAATCCAAGTGCCTAAGCAAATTAAAGAGCCCTTATTTTGATGAGGACGGGGAGGTTACACTAAACAGAGAAGTCTGGTCCCTGCCGATTTTGAGCTTATAGGCTTCCTCTTTACTAACTCGGAAAATCTGGGCAACGACATCCACAGGCAGAGCTCCAATGGCTGAGGATATCCCTACTAGAGTGTTAATCATTGCATTCTCTGCCGTCTTGAAGGCTATCCACTCGAACCCTTCTTCTCCAGTCGCCTGCATCACCGCCACGAAATTCTGAGGAATCACTAACACCTCTCCCTCTTCCATCTCCCCGTCGAACACGCTCTTCCCTTCGTTGTTCACCACCTGAATTCTCCCAATCCCTCCTGTCACATACACTATGCTGTTCGCATTCAGATTCCAATGTGGCGTATAAACACCGTTCTGCATCCAAACAAAGTCCATATACGTTAATAACGTGTGATCATGATTGTTATATATGTGTAGTTAAGGACGTACTTTGTAAAGAACGCCTCTCTCGGCGCTCAGATGGAGGTCGGCGAGGATAGGGAGCTTGATGCTGTTGAGGGTGGCGATGCGACCGGCGTGTGGGGTGTATATATCGGCACGTGCGGCGCTACCGACGTGCTCTCTAACCCTCAAGGTGCATATTGTCTCCTCAATCCCATTGGCACGTGGCCCTGGGTCTGGCCTCACCACTTCCAGGCCTTCCTTCACCAACACAATGTTCTTTCTGGGATCATCTGCACCTTTCATCTTCGTCACCGTCTCAATTCTCACGCCGAATATCTCACTCAACAAGTCTTCGTGAATTCTGCTGAATAAATTTCTTCCACCTGATCTCTCCCCATCAGTTGCCTGTCCGTGTTCGTCTTCTGGGTTCCCAGCAAGATAGAATCTCTACATGGACAAGTCAAGTTGTTAATGTTTCAATTATTATGCAATATGGAATTCGATAGATAAGGTACACAGTTTCTTACTCTTGGTTTTCCGTCAAGTTGATTGTCCGCGTTACTGGTGTCAATGAGGATGACGACAACGAGTGGGGTCTTACCGTTGTTGTAGAACCAGTAACCTATTCCAGCCGGTATGGCAATAATGTCGCCTTCCCCGATTTCATGCACCTTCTGATGTTGCTCTCTGTGTTCTTGCCGCTCAGATTCTTCAGGCTCTTCAAACGACTCAGGGCAAGAAGGAAAGATGGTCATCCCTTGAATCCCACTTCCTATATAGGAATTACGCATGCATGAGCCAATGCAAAAAAGGGCGCACGCGCGCACGCGCGCAAATATATTCAAGTGACGGGTTTTAGTTTTCACCATATATATGCGCTCGTGTGCAGTTAGTGAGTTAGTTATTAGTTATACTTATACCTCGGACATAATAGAGGAGTTGGGGAGCATTGGTGTAGGAAGGCAGGACGAGGCCTTTGGGCTGAACGGTGCGTCGAACGAGGGTAACACCAGCGCAGCGAAGTATCTTGTCGCTATGGTTCCATGATTCAGTCAGCCCACCTTCCGATTCGATACGATAAGCGGGTTTAAGGGACTCAAGGCGGTCGAGTTGGCACTCGGCCACCTGGGGTCTCCGCTCCATTCGCATTTTCTGTCGATGCGCGACGCCGTCACTGGCCAACATCAGAACAAGGCACACCAGTGAAAGCAAGAGAGCCAGCGAAGCCCTACCCATTTCCCCTTCAGTTTGTGTCTGTGCTTTTGGTCGTTTATATGTCAATAAGTAGCAAGTAGGCAGCAATATATGGGAAGATCTTCATGTGTTGGAATTTATACCAGATTAAGCGGAAGGGTGGGATAGACACGTAGGGATGGTAAGGTGAAGGAATCAGGAGACGTGCAGCTTGCATGGCGAGCAAACCCTTCAAGAAATTACACCTATTAGATGTGTTGGGGCAGGTGGCTCAATATTCAGAGGATGCTATAAGATGGTTGATCAATAATTCAGTAGCAATAATGCAGTTCCTGGGTATTGAGCAGGGAGTGTGCATCTCATGATAGCATTACTTTAATGAATTTGATGAATGTTGTACCTACTACCGTCAGAGTTGGACGTGGATGGAAAATTTGTTTAGGATGCTGATGAACATGCAAGGCTTTCACGATGAAATTTATTAGTTGGACGTAGATGTTATGATTGACCCTTTAACGTGGTGTTTATTTACAGATTGCATATATAATATTGAAGTTTGTTGGAAAACCGAAAAAAGCATGAAAACATTCTCTCCTGTAGAAACAGACACTGCACTTGAGGACAATCAAACATATGCCATTAGTGTCATCAGTCATACTTTCGAAAAGAGCCTCGTAACTTGCTAGTCCAATTTAAGTGTTGTGCGGTATGATGCATGCACATATTATAGGGAAAATTAGCGTAAGAAACAATAGGTCGTTTACATAGGATAGGAGCAAGAGTTTTCCTCCTATATACATCCCGTTAAAATTAAAGTACTAGTATTAAGTTTTCCAAGAAAATCCAGTCTGTCGTCACACCGAATGGCTCGAAGATATTTTTTTATTGTGCAACGTGAACGATGGTTATCTATGTGAAAATTTATTCATTAGAATAAATGAAAGAAATCATGAATAGAACAAAGGTCATGCGATACCTAATATGCATGTTAAAATTTATTCACTGGCACCTATGTAGAGAGGTATAAGCAATAACCCGCGAGCGTTTGATAATTCCGCGGCCAAAAAAATTAGAAGTTTGAAATTCTTGTTATGTCTTGTTTTTTATTTTATTTTTTATAGGATTTTTATGTGTGCAATTTTTAAGTTCATTTTTTTACTTTAATAACTATTATTTTTTCAGTAAGGCAGTTTCAATTATGATTTTTTTTTGGTCGGCATAATGGCATATATTCTAATTCAGATTTTTTCTCCAATGTTTGAATAAGGATAAAGCTATCAATTAGGGCTAGTCCGACCCTAAAGGTATAAGATCCTAAAAAAGTAATCAGGATTTAGCTAAGTAAATGAGAGTAAATAAGTGGATTATGTGGTGTGTGGCCAAAAAAGTTTAAGAAATGTGTTTGGTTATGATTTCAGTCCTAAATATGGGTTTGAAGTGAAGTCGGGTCATCCGAACATCAAAAGGTGAGAAAGAATTAAAGAAGGGACATCTGTGCCACATGCCATGATGTGAGGGACACTCGCCACGGTGCACAAAGGCAACCAACATGAATTAGCTAGGCCTTTTTGTGTCATTGGCCACGGTGTGAACTATGTGCACTACAGTGTATGTCCAATTTTTCTAATATACTAGTCGTGACCTAGAGGAAAGAAAAATGAGAAAATGAAAGGCATAAGGTTTGCTTTATTAGGGCACAAATTTGAGAACCATTAGAGGCATTTTGAAGCTTCCTAGCACCCAAGATAACTATATTATGCTTTCTTCTCCCCTTTCCTTCTATTTTCATGAAAGTTAAAGTTAGGGTTTGATTTAGGAGAGTGATTTTCAATTCTTATGAGCTATGAATCTGAACTCATTGGCTAAAATAGATATAATAAAAGTGGTTTAGAGTATTTAAATTTCATATTCATGGTTTTATAAATTATTGGTTGTTAAGAGCTATTCATATTAAAAATGATAATAAATAAGGCTGTTGGTAGTGTTTGATGGCCATTAATGGTGGTTAATGGCTCATTGATGACAATGTGGGTTTTTGTGACCTAGTAAACCCATTGGGCATGAATGGGAGTGAGTTTATGACTTTAATGAAAGAAGGAATGTGGAGTGAAATGTCATAAATTTCTTGTAAAAGGATATTAATAAACATCCTTATGAAATAATTGTAGGTTGATCAATTGGTACCATTCATGCTGGAGAATAAGCTTTGAAAGTTGGCATTTTAAGGGGTAAGCCTTTGATCTCTCAAAGGTTGGAGATAAATAAATGAAAAATCTAATTTGTATAGTTATATATTAATTAATTATTTATTGAATGAGACTGTCTAGAATTTGTTGTGTGTTTGAAAACTTTTTGATGTAAATTTTGACAATCTGATGATTATTTGTGAAATTGTACTGACTTGTTGGAATAATAATATGCATGTTTATTTATGTAACTAATGATGATGATTTGAAAACATGACATTATGAAAATGAGGAATATGCAATTTTTAACATGTAAAGTATGTTGGAGTGATAAAATTGTGTGAGTATAATATGAGGTTATGAATTGTGTTAAAATGACATGTCTAATGTCAATATGTGCATAGAATGATCATTGGTGAAAGTTTCATCTAGGGAAAGGAGTAGAATAGTAAATCCATGTGGTAATAATCGCTTACCATTGAAATCAAAAATTTGCTTGGTACCAAATATTGGAATTGGGAGGTAGCTAATGTCCTATGGTTGATTCGAGACTGTTCTACTTATTCTTTGAGAGACTTGAACCTAACTAGTCTCCACTGATTCATAAAAAGGCTAGGTTAGGGGTACGACATCCTATGATTATTAGTATTAAGGAGAACCATGGTACACAAGTGAGTTAACCTTTATTGAGAAGCTCCTCACAAGCGAAATAATGGGTTAATTTGAGTTGTGAACATAGCTACCTAATAGCCACTAGTTTCATGTTAGAGGTATCAAAAGAGTATAAGGTTGGCATTGATTATATATTATAGTTCCGACCACATGATTGTTATTATTGTGGTCGGGCATGTTTTAAGGGGGACGCATGGTTATTATTATCGTGACTCCATTATGTGCATTCTTCAATATATGAGACAATATGTATTGCACGCCTAGTCATATGTTGTATTTTTGTATATAGGTATGTGATATTTGAATTTATTACCATTTGCATCCATATTTAATTGATATGCAATTGTACATGCTAGGTTGAGCATAGTTACTAAGTGGTTGTACTCACATCTCATTATTTTAACTAAGATTTCATTATATTATTTTGTCTACTTGCATTATAATTAAAAGTGTTTTGTGTATTTTGTGCCCTAAGCTAGTAATAAATGTTTGTAAAGCTTAAATAGGGCCAAAATACTAATGCAAGTAAGGTAAAGTGTATTTAAGTTGTTTTGTATAAATATTAATGATTTTATACAAATTATCTCCCCTTTTTGTTTTTTTTTTGTGAATCAAGGGGTTAAGTAATGAATTTATGTAATATGTATATTTGATTGATTATGATGTGTTGCACGAGTCCAAAATGGTTCATTGAGCATGGTCTAAGAGTTGATGTAGGCTTTTGACATATGTATTGGGTTTGGGCACCCTAATTGAAAGTTTTTATGAAATGAGTGAGTTTTGAAAAGAGTATTCAACTTTTGATAGAAAATGAGTTGATTGTGAAACTTTGCCATTAGCTAGAGTTAGGAGGAAACTCTCTGTAAATACTTAAATCACTTTAATCGAACGTCGGACGGAGAAATAAGACACATTAAAAGTTTGTCCCGGGGTGTTGTCAAATGATAGCAAAATTTGCTGTCAAATTTGTGTAATATGCCGCGACGCATAGCACAAAGGCGGACACACGAGCGACATACCTGCAGCAAGCCACGACACATGTGGTGCTTTTTGCACAATTCACTGTTTTGAAGTTTATGTGCAAATGTTTGATTCTTTCCTTGATTTTCATGCTTCTGCACAAGTTTTAAACTCTGATCCATGAATGTATAAGTATATGGAAATATTTTAAATTGTAAAAACTTGGGATTTCTATTGTGAAATTCTACAATTTTGGATAATTACCTTGATTTTGAGAGATTAGGAGCGTAATAGTAATGATAATCTTACTTGTCTATCCTAAAATTTACAAAAGGGCCCGCCTTTAAAGAGTCAAGTCTAAAGAGGTTGGTTTTATTAAGCTCAATTATACTTTAGAGCTTCATTTTGATCAACTCAACCTTGGCCCTTAGGATTGAAGGACTGGCCCTCAAAGCCTCAGTCCAATATTTTTCTATTTTTTAATTTTAAAATCTTAAAAAAGTTATTACATATAACATTAAGTTTAAAAAAATCAAATTTAAATTAACACACACAATAACAAATATAAGTTTAATAAAAAAATAACATCATAAAATCAATATTGGTAGCAATCAAATTTTACTGACATCATTAATTAAATCTTAATTATTTTTAATAATTGTCATTATCATCAATATCAATATAATTTCATTCTTTTCCTTGTAGAACCTCATCAATGAAAAATATATTAAGATTTTTATATATTTTCTCTCCATCATTGTGAAATGAGGTTAGGATTTTAAAATTAGTGTAATATTTAATTTTTTTAATATTAGAATTTACAAAAAATTATACAAGAGCTTAAAAGGGCTGACCATAACCTTAAAGGGCTGAACCTTTTATTTCAAGGCTTAAAAAGGTTAGTTTTTTTTAAAATTTTTCATTTTATATGCTAAATTAGTAGCTTAGTTTTGAATTTTTTTCGAGTTTAAAAAAGCCAAGCTCAAAATAAAAGTTAGAGCAGCTTTCTTGACCAGATAAGCAGCATGGGCTTGGTCCGTGGGCTTGGGCATGTAAGTAGGCTTGGGCTGCTCACTTTTGATGGGCGAGATTTGGGTTGATTGGGGTGACAACATGAGCAACCCTAGAACGTGAAGGTCTTGCAACGGTGTCGCTAGCATTCTTCGCACTCCCTCGCTCGTTGTCTTTCTTCTTTCTCAAGTAGGCAAATTGCTTTGTTTTTATTCAGGCTCGAAATTTAGCCGAAACGAAGTTGAAGCTTTCGTATGTAATGGCAAGCAGAAAGCTATTACGTGACTTATTCTTGTCCAAGCGATCTCATTTTGTTCAATTAACATTTCAGCAGGTTCGTTCAATATATATATATATATATATATCTTTTACCAGAAGTCCTTTCTTCTCGCTGCGATATGAAAATCTGTAAGCTTTGGCCGTTTCCACTCACCTTTTTCGCTTGTTGGGATCTGCTATTGTAGGCTTCAAGCAGGAGGCTGCGTTTGCTTTCACGGTGTTCGAGTTTTCGTAGATACAGTGTCTTTAATGAGTTCTCAAAGAAGCTGAAGGGCGAAGCTGAAAGGTAATCCATCTCTCTTTCCTTTTTTAGGCGGATTTGTCCTTACCCTATGTTCTAGAGGATATAATCGGTTCTCCAGGATTCCTCAATAACAGCCGCCAAGGAGTGGCAGACTGGTATTTGAGGTTGTTTTTTTTTATTTTTTCTTTTTAATTATCGAGTCAAATTTTAGTTTAATTGGCATAGGAGTGCTCAGTCTATAGCGGAGGGAGGGGATTGGCAGGGAGCGTGGCCCCAAGTTTTCGATTTTTTCTTTGTATGGTATAGGTCTCAGTCCCTGAAATTTATTCGAACTTTATACTGTACGGTGTGTTTTTCAATTTCGCTCCCCTCATATCTAGATATTGGCTACGCCCCGGCATTCCAATTATATGTTTGTTGCCTCTTATAGCGTACAACTTGGCAACCTTAGTGTATGTGTCATGGCTTGCATTTTTTATTATTAAACTGGTTGCTGTATGTGTTTCCATGGTCTTAGAAATCCAGAATTTCGGCAGTCGGTGAAGGAGCTCAAGGAGAAAGCAGAGGAGCTAAAAGAGGTAAAAGAAGACCTTAAAGCTAGGTAAGTATTGTATCATGGTGACCATAGTACAATGGATAGCTCGTAAATTATTGATTGATAGGCTGAGACATACTGTTGTATGTCAAGGCTGGGTCGACACTTCAATGGAAGGCCTGAGATGCTGAAATGAAAAATGCAGAACAAAGCAGGTAACTCAGCAGCTGTACAAACAAGTGGATGGAGTTTGGACAGAAGCAGAAGCTGCTGCAAAGAAGGTACAGTTGAACCTCATCTTTCATGTTGATGTGTTGCAAATAAATGGAAAAGGAATGTCAACTACTTGTCAGAGGATGAAAAAATAATTTCTTGTAGGCATTTTTTTGTTTATGGTTTATCATGTATACAAATCAGCAATATATTCCACTTTCCTTTAATTCTTATATGCTTCAATTGTCATTGGTACTTGTTGTAGGGGAGGCCTTGTCTATTTTATAAGCTGATGTGGTAAAATATGACTGCTAATTGTACTTTTTGCAGGTTTCTAACAATGTGAAAGAGAAGATTTCATCTGCAACTGAGGAGGTATGTTTATGATTTTCCAGTCAGCTAGTAATGAGAAGGGATAAAAATGAGATGGAGCAAATAGAATTGATAAAAAAAAGTTAAAAATCAGTAATTTATGGTAAGATTTAAATTTTGGAGCAGCTCAAATAGACAACATAGATTAAAAAAAAGAAAAGAAAAGAAAAAGAAAAGATAGTTACACAAAGCACGATGTTTAGCTTGCCTGCACAAAGACAAAAAATGAAGCCGTCAATTTCAATAAGCTATGTGGCTTAGGTGGCTTAAATGGCTTTATGAACAGTAACTTTGTGAGAGGAGCCACAATTTTTGCCATGGCTTGGTGGAACTACTTTCTAAGATATATTGATTCAGGTGAAAGAAAGTTCGGGCACTGGAAAGCAGAATTCGGCAGGATCAACTGGCTCTTCAGCTGAATGTGATGCTGATGCAACAGAACGAATTCAGTCTCCATCTGAGGAAGAGAAACACCAGCAATTTGGATCCAGTAATACTGCGGAATCTTTGTTTGGAAAGTTTAAGTCAACTATCTCTTCCCCAAATGTTTCATCAGCCTTCCAAAAGTTGAAGGAAGCAAAGTTGGTCAATGTGGCGAAGAAAGGATATGAAATAGTAAAAGAGGAGTTAAGTGATAGTCCAAATAGGAGAAGGCGTGTTCCTTCCACACCAAGCGGTGAGACAAGTACAAGAACTGAACTTGTTGTTGTGCCCTCAAAACAATCTTGGTGGGGTAAGAAATTGGATGAGTTCAAGGAGAAGGTAACTTAACCATCTGTTTTTCATTAAATGGTTGGTCTTGAAACTTCCTCCGTTAAGAATCTTTTTAAATTTTGCTTTTAGGTGAAAGGCCTTCCTATATCCAAGCAATTCATCAAATATAGCGATCCTGTTAAGACAAAAGGCCAGGAGGTATGTTTTACTTTTGCCTCTTTCCTTCTCCCAAAAAGTTGCTGGTTCTTCTGTTCCATTCAAAATTCCCATCTGAAGTATGCTTTGTTTGTATTGGTAATGTGGTGGTTTCTGAGATAATAGTGCTGGAATGATAGAAGAAATTGTTGTTGACTTCCAGACTATATTTTTAAATTTTATTTCTGTATTTGGAACTGACAGATCGTAGAAGACTTGCGAGAAAGATATGAGACAAGTGACAGCCCAATTATCCATAAAATACAAGAGTAAGCTTCTGATTTTCTCTACACATTCCTTTTCGTGTCATGTATGATGTGAGGCTTAAGTGCTAATTTGCTATGCTCCTTTTGTAGCATGAATGATAGCATGTTCCAGGAGACAGATGCTGCAATATCATACAAGGAAATACGTCAACGGGATCCGTATGGTCTTGCACCTTTTGCACAACTATCAAAAGTTTATCTCCTATTGTTACTCTAGCTCTTAACATCTTTGTCATTTATTGTGATTGCACGGAGTAGTGATTTCTCGTTACCAGAATTTGTGGGGGAAGTTCAGGAGGCTATAAAACCAGTTCTTAATGCTTACATTAAGGTTAGTGCTAAGTTTGCCCAGGAGTGCTGGAAATTTACACTCTTTTGTTCTCCTACCTATCAAGGTTACTTTTTTTTTTTTTTTTGGGTACCATTAATCTATTCACAGCCCAGTCTTCTGCATTCATTTTTTTCCCCATTTTTTGGTTTGGAAATTATTGTGTAGGGGGATGTTGAAACTTTGAAGAAATATTGTAGCCCTGAGCTAATAGAACGTTGTAAAGCAGAGCGCCAAGCTTACCAAAGTCATGGTATTTTCTTTGATAACAAGGTGAGATTGCATTTATCTAATCGCTTGCGATCAAGTTTGTTTTATTATCTGAGGACTGAGGTTAATATTGCATTGAGTAAGATTGATTTTAACTTAATAAAGTAGATATGATAGATGAAGAAAATTCTTGGTGAAATAATATTACATCTTGATATGGGCCATTGTACATTGCAGTCAACCAAATATAACATTAGGAACATATCTTCTGTAAGCAGAATGCTACGAAATGATTACTTATATGTCACTCTTAATAGAGGGCAAGTAGGACGCATGCTAGCAAAAACCTTTTTTTTTTTTTTAAATTCAGAGAGCTTCTTGTTGACGATGTATTAATCTGGATTAAGAGATGGTGGGGAGAAGCAGACTTTTACAAGCACCATTATGGTCAAGATTATTGTAAAATACATGCTTCCAAATATGCTTATACTATCGTTGTATCTTATATCATATTTTCTAATTATTTTCTGCTGCCTTTCCGTCTGTTCTGAATTCATTTTTATCATGCAAATTGCAAATAACATAGAGTCAGATTTATCGGTACTTATTCCAAAATAACATCTCTATTTTCTCCCTTATTCTTGTAGGCTATGTAGAAGTCATCAAATATAAAGATGCCCAACCTTTTTTTTTAGACTTGGAATAGGAAGTCACGTGTCTTTATAATTATAATGAAATGAAGATTACATTTAGTGTTTCTGTTGTTTCATGTGTAGATATTTCTACAGTAAGGTTATGGTTGAGGTGCATTTCCCTTCTAAAGTAGTGTTGTACACATTTGATTCTTGATACAGATTCTGCATGTATCAGATGTGGAAGTGAGAGAGACCAAGATGATGGGGTCCTCTCCCTTGATCATTGTAATGGTATAAAAATTACTACCGAAACTTCTTTGCTAATTCCCAAAAATTTATTCTCATGTCATGCTGTGCAAATAAAAGCTTGTCCTTCATAGCTCCTAACAGGGTTTGTCCTAATGATCCTTTTAATGATTTTCAGTTTCAAACACAACAAATCTATTGTGTACGTGATAGGAATGGGTCAATTGCTGAAGGAGGCAAGGTGAAGTATTATTGCTTTTTATTTATATTTTCAATAATGAGATGTGCAAATATGCTAGCTTCTTGTGAGGTAAAACTTCATCGCCACATATAAGCGTATCATGCAGGCATTTCCTCTTCTCTGAAATTGCATCATTAAACAAATCTTGTCAATTGAAGCCCAAATTTAAGTTGGGCACCGTAAAAATCTTAGTTTAAGTCTCACTATTTTACTGAAACATGTGACAAGTACATAAAGGACAGTAAAAAGGGCTATCTTGATACATTGATTGGATTGTTTGCTCTTTTTTGTTATCGGGGAAGGCTATTTAATTCTAATATTTATCAATAAAAAAACCCTATAAGCCTAACAGGTAATTCAGATTGGGGGCTAGTTCATCGTGGTGTTGTCTGATGGATTTATGCCTTTTCTGGTGAAACATGGAGTTCTCAGTTATCATTGATGGAAATACCATCGCATGAATGCTCATATTGAATCAATATGCAATAATCTGATTCTTGACAGAGGAGGTAGCTAAATAATTTCCCCGAACAGTGTCCTTTTAAAGGTATACTTGTAGGATCTGCTCAAAACTACGAAAATACGATGAAGGTTGATAAGACTGCTACTAGAGATGCTTGCCTGCCTGTGAGCGGTGTATTCTGTAACTAGAGATGTTTATGTGCATAAAAAGTAGCTAATTCATGGAGTGAATGAAGAAACTTTGCTTCTTGGGTATTTATTATAATTTAAACTCATGACGTTGATCCCCTTTACCAGGACACAATCCACACCGTTTTCTATGCTTGGGCCTTGCAACAAATGGAGCCAGAGGATCGCGGAGAAGATGCTATTTACCTCATGTGGAGACTAAGAGAAATGCAACAGCAGGGTGTCCAAGCCCTTATATAGTTATTCATATCCTAACCCATTGAGAATCTTGTATCATTGAGCCTTTATTTCCTGTTTACATTCATTTTTTATTCATAAAAATTTTGTAGCGGCCATTGATAAGTCACGTCATTTTTTTCAGGAAAAAAAAAAGATGATACAGAATCAAAAGAAATTTTGTACGATGAGTTCATTTTTGAATGCTCATTTAGATGTGTGGCTGTTGGGAAAATATGAATAGGCTTGTTCATAATGCTTTGTCGGCTGTGTATATGGTGGCTCATCTAGTATCCACTGTTATCACAAATCTGAACCTTGACCATGTAATGCTAAAGCTATGTACTCCCTCCGTCCTGAAGTACAAAATTTTTAAGGGAAAAATGTTTTGTTCTTTTTGCGTCTTAGAAATTTAAAGCAGCATTTATTAAAATTTTTTTCTACTACATCCTTATTTATACCAACTTCACATAAGTCTCTTTCCTTTAGACTTATTTATAAAGAGGAAAAATAAAATTTGGTTTTATTTATAAGGTGTCTATTAATTTTTAATATTTCTCTTTACATGTTTGTCTTTATTAAATATTTTAAATAAAAATATTAATAATGAGATTTAAGAATATTTGTTAGAGATAAAGGTAAAAATTTATTAAATTTTAAGGTAAAGTTAATAAATTTTAGAGTTTTTTTTTATTTTAATAAAACATGTTGAAAATAATTTATAAATAAAACTAGAAGGAGTAGGACATTAGTTAGGTTATATATATTATTTTAATTATACTCTTATTTTACTGAGTAATTAATGATAATGTTTTAAATGAGTTAAAATTTATATTTATAATAACATTATAAGTTAAAATGTTTTGAACAAGTTCTTATCATAACTTCATAAGAGTATGAACACGCTGTTATTTTAAATAAGTTAAATGTTATATTTATCATAGATTGTAAATACGGATAGGATTAGCTGGGAGATAGGCAAACTAGCCATGTGTTTGGCATAGTTTGGTATTTTTTTAAGGGTTAGTCAACCTAGGTGACCTGGGAGAAACCACCATTAACTCGGTCAATCTCATGAATCAGGTGAGTTAAACGGGTTACCCAAAAAAAATTAAAATTTGTAGAAAAATTAGATGTTCATGAGGCTACCCTCTTGAAACCTCAAATCTTCACCCCTTGTTCTTGGTGTTCTCTCCTTTTTTTCAACCTTTGTCTTTCTCTGCGACGTTCTCATCTTTGTCTTCTGTTGACCTTTTGGCATCCTCATTTGCGATTATGTTATTTGGTTCTCTTGGAGTTCTCGTTTGTGACTCATCTATTTGGTTGCCTTCTCTTCTTGATGTTTGAAGAGGGGAAATGAAATGGCGTATGAAGGAACTGAGGAAGAGAGAATGAGGTGAAGGAAGAAGAGTGAGAGAGGGAAGTGATGCTGATGACTTTTCAAGAGATGACTTTTGAAGGAGAGAATAAAATGAAAAAGAAGAGGGAGGGAGGGAAAAGCGAATAGGGCAGGCGGGCAAGGGAGTAGTTAGTTTTCAAGAGATGTGATGTAAAACATGAAAAATCGTGATTGCAAACTTGGAAATGACAAAATTAAGTGAAAAAAAATAAAAAAATTAATATTAATAATGAGCGAAATAATTTTTCATTATTATGCATTACTAATTTATTATTTTATTATGATTAGTCTATCTATGATTTAACTCTTAATTTGATTTTGGTTGAATTATTGACCTCTGTCCTAATGCTTTGGCTGATTTAATGATCGACCGATTTTAAATATCTTAATATTTATCACACTAAAAGGTACAATGGGAAAGATGTGAATTTTTAAAAAAAATTCAAGATTTTAACATATTTTTTTTTATAAATAATTAGTTAACAATACTTAAGCCCGGAGGGAGTATGAAGCTTTGGGGATAAAGTTAATAATGTGATCTATATTTTTATGTATTAATTGTATTTCTTAATGTGTATTAATACTCTATTCATTTTAAATTCTAAAACACTTTTGACATAGATTCGATTTCTCAAAATATAAAACACTTTGACAAAAATAAAGTTTTATTAATAATACTTTTTCAATACCACCCTTTTCATATATTCTTTTTCTTTAATATTTTTTCACAAATGATATATTAAATTAAGAATATTTTTAAAAGTTTATATTTTTATATTAAAAAAGTAAGATTGTAAAGTATCTTAAATGAACTTTATTATATGTGTGATTTTGTCTGAAAATGTCTAATAATTTGAATCAAAGGGAGAGTTTTAAAAGAAACATTTTGAGAGTAAGGGAGTATTTATACAGACTATAGATACATGATATCTTTTTTTTTGGGCCAAGGATACCTGATACTCTCTTCGATCCAAAATATAAATAGTTTTTGAAAAAAAAATTCACATACCAATAAAGTCATCATTTCCATAAAAATATATATTATTTTTTTATTCCTAATCCTAATTACCAATGTATTCCATGATGAGTGAGGTATACATTTATATAAATATCTAAGTCAATAAATATAAGGGGTAAAATAGAATTTATTTATTTTTACATATACTAAATTGCTTATATTTTGAACCAATATTAATTAAGGAGGAATGCTTATATTTTGGACTAGAAGGAGTATCATTTAAGAACAAATCAAAAGGGACTACCATATGCCAATAATGTGTGAATATACCCAATTATCTTTCACTAGTTGATTAGTTTGTTTATTATATGGCGTGTCAGTGTAACATTTTAATTTTTAATTCCTTGATTAAATTAATTAACCAAGAGTAATTTGGTAAAGTTAGGTATTAACTGGCTTAACGAAGGTTATTGATGGCTAACAAGTCTAAAAGTCTTAAGTATAGCTTGTGGATTGGGTCTAAAAGTCTTTTGGTTTACTTGGGCCCAAAATAGGAGAGCAATTGGATTAGGCGCTCTTTATGCCATCCGCCATGGCGAAGGTACTATGTACTATGGTGGATGGTTAATTTTTTAAATAAGAAAAATTAATTTTTTAGTCCTTCAACTTTTAACTCGTAATTTAGTTTCTCAACTACTTAGTTCCTCAACTTTTAACTTACTTATAACTCGATTCTTATTTTTTCAAAAATTTTTTAAAATATTCTTATCAAATAAGAGAGATAAAAGAAATTCTCATATATTTCTCTAAAATACCCTTCTCTTGCCCTTTGATGTGTGATTTAAACTAACATAAAAAAAGAAACTAATAAAAGCTCAGGGGATTGAGTTATAAGTGAGTCAAAAGTTGAGGGAATGAGTCATAAACAAGTTATAATTGAGAGACCGAGTCACAACGATTCATAGTTGAAGGATTAAGTTACAATTAAGTTAAAAGTTAAAGGATTAAAAGATTTTTTCTTTTAAATAATTAGGTCATGATTTGCAACTATAGAATAGAGAAGGGGGAAGAAACTGAAAATAGGATGATAGGATAAGCATTTAGTCTGCTAGGGCACAAGTCCTTTGATACCCTAAAGTGTTTCTATTTTGGTTTTATCTTGGTAAGCCTTTTATCTCCTTTCATCTTCCATCTACATGAATTTGAATCGAGATTTAGGATTGGAAGATGAAAATTTTTGAACCTAGGGCTATAGATCCAAACTCATTAGTCTTAATGGGATCAATAAGAGTTGTTTTAACATTCTAAATATAGTTTTAAGGATTTTACAAGGTTGTGAGCTTGGGTCTTGGTTTTTGGATGAATCCTAGCTACTATAAGTAAGATTTTGAGTTCTTAAGAGACATATTAGTTGTTATTTAAACTTATGAGAGCTAAATAAGGTTAGTGAAAGTTAATAAACTCATTGGATGTGAGTTTGAGTTTGTAATTGGGAAGTTGAGTTGTTAAAGTGTGAGTTTAGGAGTTGAAAGTTGTAATTATGTAGTTGATTAGTGATGATGATTGTTATTACATATAGATTCATAATGTAGCATGTTGTTTAAGTTCATTGCAAGCTCAGGAAGCAAGTTGTTATGGGTAATTTTTGAGTTCTTAAAGGTTTAAGATAATCAAAAAAATTATATATCTTGCTATTTCTCATTAGACTAATTATGGTCTTCATGAAAATTGAATAACATGTTTTCTATTTAAATGAACTTGTTTATTGTTTTAGAAAAAAGAAATGCAAGTATGACTTTAGTATCAACAAGAAAAGATCATTGTGCAAATGTTAATATATTATTGAACACATGAATTTGAATATTGTGATTGAACTTGAGATTTTGTGATAATATATGCATGCTTGTGTTAAATTTAATATACTTAGAGTTTCTAGTATGCATGCTAATGCCTTGTGCATTGTTGTATGATCACATATTGGGCAAGAGATTGCCCTAGGAAGAGTAGTACTTTTTTTCCATATGAATATCTACCAACATCATGGGTGGCCTTGAAATTGGTTTAAGATCATGTCTTCCTGAATTTCATCCAAAAATGGGTATAAGCGTGGGTTGCCTAGGCCCTTAGTCATTGCATCTTCATGTGTTGGGTGCACTGTAGGACTTGTAAGACCCAGTGAATTTGAGAATTGGGAGAATATATGATTTGAGAGTGAATGTATCACTTTTGGCCAAGCAACTCCTCACGATTGGTGAGCTTGAGCTAGTCTCTTCACATAGACTTAATCCTATTAAATTATCAGCCTAAATTCAATCGACAATATATAAAGGAGAAAAGGAGTGATTTGATCATGTATCGGTAATATCATGTGATGTGATATTATGCTATATATTTGGATGATTTTTAATGCCTACTTTACATGCCTTAATTAATTTAATTTGCATGTGCATGATTTAAAGTTTTTCTTAGTTATTGAGTGATTATACTTTTTTCTATTCTACATTTTACAGGAACTAACTCCAGGAAAGACAAGGAAAAGGATTTGGAATCTTAAGAGTTCACATTCTTACTATAGGCCTCCTATTTTAGCTTTTATATGTTCATTTTGATAATATAATTCCCAACTAGAACAATTCTTTTGTTACTTGAACTATTACATGATATATGTGTGGCTTTAATTGAATTTAATGCCTTCAACTTTGTGCATGAGCTATGGTTGTCTAAATAGGGCCTAAATACTTGTGTAAGTATATTTATTATAGTTTTAAAAATAGACCAGACCGGCCATTTCAACCAGTTGAACCGAAAACAAGCTCTTAGTCTAGTTTGGTTGACATCCTAAAATTGGACATCAGGGAATCGATCAACAACTGGTAAAACTATTTGAAAGGACCAGTCCCATAA